TCTCAGTGATGTCACGGGCTACACGGTGAGGGAGCTTGGGTAGCTCCGTGTCCTGCTGGCTCCCGGTTTCCGAGGCTGTCTTCCAGCTTCTGTCTGCCCTGACAGAACTGGCAGGTCTCTGGGTAGCCTCGAGCCAACAGCGGGCACTTGGGTTACGTTGAAAGCAGGTGCGATGATAATGGCTTCTGTTAGAAGTCATTGGCGGCCTGGAGAGAGCCTGTTCTGGGTCCTAGGCAGATGGTACTGCTGACTGCTGCTTTGTGCCCATCCCCTAGCACAGAATCCACCTGCAGCCAGCGGCCGGGTGGCAAGGCCAGGCTCAGCAGGGACCCATGAGGGCGGCACTGGAGACCCCATGGCCACCCCAGAGCAGCAAGTGCTCTCTGCATTAGGAAGAGCGATTTACACAGCACTGATGGGCAAGAATGGATTTTCCTATCTGATTTCATGATGTGGTCAGGTAAGCAGGCAATGTAATTTCCAATCCTGTGGGGAGGCGACTGCTGTGTAGAACCCGTGGTGTCAGCTGAGAGGGGATTCCTGTTCCTGTGCAAGGCGGAAGCAGTGATTTTTTTTTTCAAACTCCTGAAAAACAAACATTCCTAAGTGTATCTGGGAGACAGTTTATGTGTGAATTAAAAAGCTTTTTGCTCCATCTCTTAACTTATGGCTTGCATGGAATAGGAATGAGTTGTTTTTCCAGGAAAGAGTTGTTTTCTTGTCCGGTCACAGACCCCTTAGGAAGAGGCGATTTGAATGAGTACTTTAGCATTTCTTTGCCTGGTTCTGATCTCAGGAAATACCATATAGTATATGACAAAAATATTTTAAGTTTACCTTTGACATCTGTCTGACTCTGGTTTGCTTTATGACTTCTTCATTCAACAATAAATTACCTTAAAAATAAATCTTTTCTGGTTTTTTCATTTGATTTGAAAGGCAGAGACACAGAGAAAGATCATCCATTGGCTGGTTCAGTCCCTAAACTCCTGCAATATCCAGGGCTGGGCCAGGCCAACGCCAGGCACTGGAAACCCAGTCTGGGTCTCCCATGCAAGTGGCAGGCACCAAAGCAATTGAACTATGCCCTGCTGCCTCTCTGGGTGCCCATCAGCAGGCGGCTAGATCTGACACAGGGTAGCCAGGACTGGAACCAGACACTCCAATACGGCAGACAGGCACCCCAAGCAACAACTTAACGGCCGAGTCAAAAGCCAACCTCTACTCTTTGAGAAAGAGCGTGGTGTTATTAGCATAATAGCAACCTGTGTTGACCCATGTTTCTGAACTGTGCCTGCTGTGTGGACTTGTAGTCATATATGCAGGTGAGAACAAGAACTTTTATGTATTCGTTTTCCTTTAAAATAACAGATATCCATTCCTCCTGTTCATAGAGTCAGGGCTTCGGGATCTGGAAATTATTCCCCATGGCCTCCACATTTGCTGCAAATAAACCACCTTGTGTGACAACTCCTTCTGACATGCTTCATAGAACTCACCAGGAAACAGTCCAATTGTTTCAGGTAGGAAGCACCAAAGGCAGAGGAAATAATTGCACACTAGCTCACAAGGACTTTTTCAAAAAACTTTTAACTTTCCTTTATATAATTACCACATACATATATTCCTAAACAATGTATTAAATAGTAAAAAAGAAAAAATACTTTGGCTTCTCTTTGAATTTTATAAAATGGAAATTGCTTTACTATACTTCTGCTTGTTTTCAATCAATATTATCCTTCAAATCCATCCCTGTTGTACGTGGTTGCAGTTTATTTTCTCTGCTACTGAGTAGTTCATTACATGAATATGTTGTGATTTATCTGTTTCCCTGTCACAAGCATTTAAACTGTTTCCTTTCCTTTCTTTCCCACCCCCAACTATTTGCGTTGCTGCTGTGACTGTTCTTATACAGTGTCCCGATGTGTGTGCGCAAGCATTTTTCCAGGGTGCAAGTGTTGCCTTGGCAGACACCTTCCAAAGAGGCCATGCCAATAAATGCGCCCGACAATACCTTTTCCTTAAGTTTGAGAATGGCTGCTTATTTTCACAAAGCACAGCTAAAGCTAGGCTGCCATATTTTTAAAAAAATCTTATAAATGGGACCCTAAGAATAATGTAACAAGAAACATAAAACTAAATAGCGTAATAATTCAGTGGTGGTGTTCCTTGGTTGCGTACCTTCTTTGGGGGAGTCTCTCGTCAGTCACTGGGTTGCACAGAACAATTCCTTTTGCTAGGATAAAACACTCCTTTCCCCCACAGACCTGTTTTCCTTTGTTTCCGGCTCTAATAAAAGAAAATAAAGACACCTCCTCACTACACCTCCCCACACACACATCCAAAACAACACTAACAAGTTAGCTTGTCCACAGCCATAGCCATCCTTTAACCACCTTTCATTACAGTTGTTAGTAATTGTTCTAAGCTTCCTTATTCCAGAGTGAATTTTTGCTTTACTTCCATATACCCAGGAAACCCATTAAACTGTTTTTTGAAAAGAGCATTCTTCTCCCAGAGATGAATTTTACAACCATCCCTGGAGTAGTCATGTTGGCTAAAGTCTCTTGGCTTGCAAGCCACAGACATGAACTTGAGCTAGCTTAAGCAGAAAAAGATAAGGATACAAGGTTGTTACAAGGAACCACGAAAGAATTTCTCATTAGCCAAATGTGGGTTCAGTGCTCTCCAGGAACTCAATCAACACTTGTCAGAGGGATGAGTTCATATTGCACCTATGTGGTTCTATAATGGGCAGAATTCACCTCTTCAGAAAGGTCACAGGAATAACTGAGTTGAGATCTGAGAACCACAAGAGGGTGAGGAGGTGTCAGAAGGCTGTGAAGGGAGAATTTCTTGAAGGCAAAAAGAAAAGGATGTGCAAAGGTCCATGACAAGAGTAGAATGGGGCCATGTGTTGGGCTTTTAGTCAACCATCCAAGGCGGAGGTGATAGTCATTGGGAGGAGGGGCTGGTGGCTGAGATGAAGAGGATCAATTGAGAAAACAGCCCACATTGGAGCCCCTGAAATAAACCTGGGAAGTCTCTTGGAATTCAAATACTCATCTTTCCTTTATATTAAAATTGCCCTATGTTAGTCCTTTGTAAAGTAAAAGACAAAGGTACAGAAATCTAAGGTGAGTGGAAGTAAAATTTCAAAGAAGTGAATTAATATCTTGTAATTTATTTTAAAGATTTGTTTGGGGCTGGTGCTGTGGCACAGTGGTCTAGACCTTTGTCTGTGACTCTGGCATCCCATATGGGCTCCAGTTCTAGTCCCAGCCGCTCCTCTTCTGATCCAGCTCTCTGCTATGGCCTGGGAAAGCACTAGAAGATGGCCCAGGTACTTGGGCCCCTGCACCTACGTGGGAGACCCAGAAGAAGCTCCTGGTTTAGCCCACCTCCAGCCATTGCAGCAATTTGGGGAGTGAACCAGCAGATAGAAGACCTTTCTCTTTCTTCCTCTCTGTGTAATTCTGCCTCTCAAATAAATTATTTTAAAAAAGATTTATTTATTTGAGAGGTAGAGTTACAGAAAGAGGGAGAGACAGAGACAGAGAGACGGGGGGGGGGTCTTCCATCTGATGGTTCCTCCCTAAATGACCACAAACCAGAGCCCATATGGGATGCTGGCACCCCAGGTGACAGCTTTATCCGCTATGCCACAGCACCAGACCTGTGACACAGTACTTAACAGGGCATTTTCTAGAGATGCTCAGATCCCATATCCAAGAATCTGGGTTTGAGTCTTGGTTCCACTTCCAATTCCAGCTTCCTGCTAATGTGCACTCTGAGAGGCAGCAGATGATGACAGCTCAACTACCTGGCTCCCTGCCACCCACATGGGAGATCTAGATGGAGGTACAGACACCTGGTTTTCACCTGGCTCAGCCCTGGTTACTGCAGGCATTTGGGGAGTGAACCAGTGGATGGACAATCATTGTCTATGGCCCCACACTAAATGATTTAACTAATAAGTTATTTCTGTAACAGAGGAGAAAGAAAGTCTTAGCAATATGATGTGACCTTGCTAACAGGGTTACATAGCAGCTCAATCAACTCATTCAGCCCAATTCAGAAAGAACCAGAAAACTAATCTTTCTCAGGCTAATCAAACCAGACTACTACTGAAATAATGACTTAATTATTCCCATTTCTACTTTTCTAAAAGTAAACAGAGAGACCAGTAGCCTGGAACTCTATCCAGGTCTCCGACATAGGTACAGAAGCTCAAGTACTTGGGCCATCTTCCACTGCTTTCCCAGGCACATTAGCAGGGAACTGCATCAGAAGTGGAGCAGCTGGGACTCAAATTAATGTTCATATGGGATGCTGGTTTCAGAGGCTATAACTTAACCCACTGCACGAATCAGCCCCTTCTTTGGCTTTTAACCATTTATTTATAAACAAATACTTCACATATTTGATTCTCTCCAAACCAAAGTTTGACAGGTGGGTGTTGTGACACAATGATTAAGATATTGGTCAAGATGCTCACTTCCCATATCAGAGTGCCTGGGATGGAATCCTGTCTCCAATTTCAGTGTGCCTGGGAGGCAGCAGGTGATGGCCCAACTACTTGGCTCTCTACATATACCGGGGGACCTGGATGGAGTCCCTGGCTCTTGGCTTAAGTCTGCCCAACCCCAGCTGTTATGAGCATTTAGGAGTGAACCAGTAGATAGAAGATTCTCTCTCTCTCCCTTTCTGTCACTCTTCCTTTCAAATAAGTAAGAAAATAAAACTTGAAAAAAAATTCTTTGACACAATACCACTGACTTCAGCCAGTAGGAGAATGGAGTGATCTGACTCATAGATGCTGTCAGTGGTGCCCCCTGCAAACAGTTGAGGTTTAAAACTGGCTGTTAAACCTGCCTTTGACCTTGTCGACCTCTGCCACATTCATCTGGATGAGCATGGTCCTTGGTCTCAATGATGTGGCTGTTGGTGGAGCATTTGTGCAGCATATACACTGTCCATGAACTTGCTGGTTTCATTCCTTGCCTGCTACCATCATGAGTACAGTGCAGGAGAGCATCATAGTCCAGTAAAGTGAAGCTACAGCAGATTTTAAGATGGAGGAAAATTCCCACTGGGTTTATGGACAGAGTTTTGGAAGTCTTGGTTATGCCACATTAAGTGTGCAGTTACACTCAAGTAATGTCTGATATTCAGTACTTGTCAAAACACTTTTCTTGTGCAGGTGACTAAAAGGGACAGAGTCTTTACATTTATTTGGTACAATGGGGGGGTAATGGGGGAAGGGTCAGTAACCACATTTAATAATATAAAACTTGAAATGTTTTTATATTTGAAATTCATTGGTTTCACTGATAGAATTCCAGTGCTTAGAACCCAGTCACACAGAGGATTCAAATTCCAGCTCTGTTGTTTAGTCTGTTACTTTGGGCAAATGCCTTATGTTCTCAGCACTTCAGTTTCCTTATCCATTTATTTATTTACTTATTTTTTAAACTATGTTAGAGCTATGTGAGGATTAGAGCACACAAAGCACAAAGTATGTCATGGAGTATAAGGCAGGAGGCTCTCATTAAATAACAGAAGTACTTGCCCACTCTTTCACCATAGTATGAGATATATTGGGATACTTGATAGTTGCAGTCAGGTGGAAACTGACCTGTGAGGTAGACAGAGACATGGATATTATCGTAGTCCATTCATGCTGTGATAACAAAATACCAGAGACTGGATAACTTATAAACAACAGGAATTTATTTCTCACAGAGCTGGAGGCTGAGAGGTTCAAGATCAAGGTGTCAGCAAGTTTGGTGTCTGCTGAGGGTCTGGTGGCTGGTTCCAAGTTGGTGCCTTCCTGTTGAGTTTCCCACGATGATCACTGTGTCCTCACAAGGCAGAAGGGACAGGGGGCAAAAAAAGGGCCCAGCTAGTTCCCTCCAACCCTCTCATAAGGCTACTAATCCCCTAAGTCACCTCGTAAAGGCCCAACCTCTTAATGCTATCACATTGGCCATTAAGCTGCAACATGCACTTTGGGGGACACATGCAGACCACAGCAGACACAGTGTGGAGAAGAAGAAAATAATTCATAGGCTTCCCAGCAGGAACCTATAGGTTTTTGAGGTTTTTACCTTTAAAATGACAGACAATGCCTGATCACTTAGGGCTTGATTATCTGGTTATGGACTCCCCTCAGTACCTTAATTTCTTGCTGTGAATAGTAGAAACAGAGAGAAGGCAAGTGACCTCAGCAGAGACTGAATTACTTTGCATCCTCCACAGTAGCTAGCACTTAGTATAGACTAAATCACTTTTTGGAAATTCCAGTTCTGGGGCCAGTGCTGTGGCAAAGCGGGTAAAGCCACCCCCTACAGTGCCAGCATCCCATATGGGTGCCAGTTTGAGTCCCGGCTGCTCCTCTTCTGATCCAGCTCTCTGCTGTGGCCTGAGAAAGTAGAGGATAGCCCAAGTCCTTGGGCCCCTGCACTCACGTGGGAGACTTGGAAGAATCTCCTGGCTTCTGGCCTCAGATCAGTGCAGTTCTGGCCATTACGGCCAGTTGGGGAGTGAACCAGTAGATGCAAGACCTCTCTTTCTGCCTCTGCTTCTTTATGTAACTCTGACTTTCAAGTAAATAAATCTTAAAAAAAAAACCACTCCAGTTCTAAAAATATTGAGCTGTTATTCTCTTTAGCAGTGCCGTGATAAAAAAATAGCTTTGACTATGCCAGAAAAATGAAATCAAATGCATAGAATGGTGTTGACTAGAATACATGTACACATTAATTCTTAAATATCAAGCATGACTTTAATAACTAGAATAAAACTAAGTCCAAATACTCAAACAAAAGAAGAAAGGGAGACATGATTCCAGACCTCGAAACCAGATTTTAACTTGCCTATTAACAACTTTAGAGAAAGTTGAAAAGGGGACAAAGAGGGGAAATGTAGAAAAGTATACACAGTATCCTATCATTGATATTTTTTTCAAAAGCACATACACAAGGATACTGGGTTATGCATAGACTCTCCATATGGATACCCTAGACACTAACAGGATGGGGATATGGGAAAGGAATATGGAGGCCTAGAGGCAGGGAGGAATAATTTTCATTGTGTAGCTCTTAGTACTAGTTTGCTTTTCCATTTTTTAAAAACAAGGTTCACATACTACCTCTTTAAAAAAAAGGTTCTGGTGGTAAGGGAAAAGTTTATTCTTTCTGAGTTCAAATTCAACCTCTAAGATGATTTTTAAAGGGAGATTGTTTATAATACAGTGAACTGATACTTATGTGACTTGGTAGAAAAAGGTCTGTTCTGTGGGATCTCCGTCTAGCCTCTGCTACTATTTATGTGGGCTTTTTTTTTTTTTTTTAAAAGAAACCTAACACTATTGTTGTTTTAGAAATACAGGTAGAGAGAAAGCTTGACTTCTTTTTAAAATGTATTCAATTTTTGTTTACTTTACTTAAGAGGTAGGGGTGGTAGTTGTGGTGCAGTGGGTTAAACCACTGCATGGGAACACCACATCCCATATCAGGGTGCCTGGTTCAAGTCCCAACTACGCCACACTTCCTATCCAGCTTCCTGCTAATGCACCTGAGAGGCAGCAGATGGTGACTTAAGCACGTGGGTTCCTGTCCTCATGTGGGAGAGCCAGATGGAGTTCTTGGCTCCTTGCTTTGGTGTGACCTAGCCCAGCCCTGGCTGTGTAGGCATTTGGAGAATGAACTAGCAGACAGAACATCTGTCTGTGTCTTTGCCTCTGTCTCTCCCTCTGTCACTTTTTCAAACAAGTAAGTACATCTTAAAAGAGGAAGAGAGGAGGGAGGCAGAGAAACACAAAGAGCTCCCATCCGCTGGTCTCTTCACAAATGTCTACGATGGCCAAGGCCGGGCCAGGCTAAATCAGGAGCCAGGAATTCAGTCTAGGTTCCTCATATAGGAACCACACGTGGGCAGCAGGTAGAACTCTGGTGCCAGGCACTCAGGTATGGAAGGTGGATATCCCAATCTTTTTTTAAAAAGATTTATTTTATTAATTTGAAAGTCAGAGTTACAGAGGGAGGTAGAGACAGAAGGAGAGGTTTTCCATCTGCTGGTTCATTCCCCAGATGGCTGCAATGGCTGGAGCTGCACCGATCTGAAGCCAGGAGCCAGGAGCTTCTTCTACATCTCCCACGTGGGTGCAGGGGCTCAAGGACTTGTGCCATCTTCCACTGCTATCCCAGACCATAGCAGAGAGCTGGATCAGAGGTGGAGCAGCCGGGACTAGAACCGGTGCCCATATGGGATGCTGGCACTTCAGGCCAGGGCGTTAACCCACTGTGCCACAGCACAGGCCCCACATCCTTATATTCTATGGTGGGTGGCGCTGTGCTTCAGTGGCTTGTGCCGATGCCTAAATTGCAAGCATCCCATATGGGTGCCTGTTCAAATCCCAGCTGCTCCTCTTCTGATCTAGCTCTCTGTATGGCTTGGGAAAGCAGTGGAAGATGGCCAAATCCTTGGGCCCTTGCAACCACATGGGAGACCTGGAAGAAACTCTTGGCTCCTGGCTTTGGATCGGCTCAGCTCTGGCCATTGTGGCCATCTGGGGAGTGAACCAGCAGATGGAAGATCTCTGTCTCTCTCTCTCTCTCTGGCTCTACCTTTTTCTACAACTCTTTCAAATAAATAAAAATAAACTTTTTTTTAAAAAAAGAACTTGTCCACAAGGGCAGACATTGAGGAGTCCCTTGGTCCCAGCTGCTCCATTTCCAGTCCAGCTTCTTGTCAGTGCATTCTGGGAGGCAGCGCATCATGGCCCAAGTGCTCAGGTCCCTGCCACCCTGTGGGAGACTTGGATGGAGCTCCTGACTCCTGGCTTCAGCCTGGCCCATCAGGCATTTGGAGAGCAAACCAGTGGATGGAAATCTCTGTCTCTCTGCTTTTCCAGTAGGTGAGAATAAGTAAATAAACATTAGAAAAAAAGATACTAGGGACATTTACAGGAAAATAGGGGGATGACACACTCTGAGGCCCGTGGCTGTTTTGATCAGTCTTCACTCTGTCACTGGAGGACTTCCATGGGGAAGTGTTGGAGGCAGGTGGGACAAGTTAACTGTGATTAAGAGGTGAAAGGGATGGTACCTGTCTCTTGGCATTCCAAAAACATGTTAAAATTTTTTCTGTAATTTGTGCTTTAAGAAACAACAAAACAATTATTTAGAAAAAAATTATCTTATTTCTTAAAATATATTTTTCTGATTGAGAAGTAATACTTGGGGCAGGCAGTCGGGGCTCAATTAAGATGCCACTTGGGGCACCAGCATCCCATTATCAGAGTGCCTAGGTTGAATCCCAACTCCATTTCTGATTTCAGCTTCTTGCTGGTGCACACCCTGGGTGCATCCCATATGGGCACTGGTTCCTGTTCTGGCTGCTCCAGTTCTAATCCAGCTCTTTGCTATGGTTTGGGAAAGCAGCAGAAGATGGCCCAAGTGCTTTGGCCCCTGCCCCTACATGGAAGACCTGGAAGAAGCTCCTGGCTCCTGGCTCCAAATTAGCCCAGCTCTGGCCATTGTGGCCATTTGAGGAGGGAACCAGCAGATGGAAGACTGACACTCACTCTCTTTCTCTCTCTCTCTCTCTCTTTCTCCCTCTGCCTCTCTGTAGCTCTGCCTTTCAAATAAAAATAATAATAAATTTATAAAAAGCTATAGGTGCTGAAAGATGAAGTTGATTACCTTTCTCCTTCATTTCATATAGTATAAAAAGTTGATTGGGGCCGGTGTTGTGGCAGAAGAGGTTAAACTACTGCCTGTGACAATGTCAGCATCCCATGTGGGTGCTGGTTTGTGTCATGGCTGCTCCACTTCCAACCTGGCTCCCTTTTAATGCATCTGGGAAAGCAGTAGAAAATGGCCCAAGTGCTTGGGTCCCTGCCACCCATGTGGGAGACCCAGATGGAGCTCTAGGCTCTGACTTTAGCCTGGCACAGGCCTGCTGTTAGGGCCATTTGGGGAGTGAACATGAGAATGGAAGATATCTCTCTGTCTTGTCACTCTGCCTTGCAAATAAATAAAATCAATCTTTTTCTTCTACTTTTTCCTTATGCAAGGTCTCTATCCTGGGTCTGTTAAAGACTCTGTCAACTAGTTCTGGGGCTATTTGCTGCTGAATTGCAACATCATACTGCTGAACTTTCTTTTTGGTGTCAAAAAAAGAACAGGTTTATCTTGTTGCTTCTCCTGAAAATCCAGCAGATGGAGCTCTGACTACTGTTTCAATTTTCTTAGCTTCTGCAGCCCTTCTTCCTCTTCTTCCTCCTTTTTTTTTTTTTTTTTAAAGACTTGTTTATTTGAAAGGCAGAGCTACAGAGAAAGATTGAGAGAGAGAGAGACAAAGTCAGAGAGCTTCCATTCCAAATGGCCGTAACAGCCAGAGCTGTGGCAATCTGAAGCCAGGAGCTTGGGGTGCCCGACTTGAGCTGTGGAACCCTTGTGGGCCCGGGGGCAGCGCAGTGTTTTACACCCCTGCTCCCCTGCCTTGGGGGACACCAGTACTTCCAGATGCAGAGCTGGGGCTGCCAGCAAGGGTTGTTGAGCTTGCGCTGACCCCACTGGTGGAGCTGGGCCTGGGCCAGTCTGCAGGCTGCCACACTCAAGGCAGCACCTCCTTCCCACAGCGCAGGGCCAGCACACTCTCCCCACCTGCTCCCACATCCTGCTTCCAGAATGAGTAACACCCAGGTCTGCTGTCGGGAGGCAGGTCTGGGAGAGCGGGCGTGGAGCAAACAGGCTGGGTCCTCGCCCCTTATCGCCAGTAGGAAGGGGTGGGCACACTCAGATCAACAGTGCCTCTCGCCTCCCTCACAGTCAGACCTGATCCAAAAATGGCGTTTCTGGAAATCTGGGCTAAGACGTAATAAAAGGGGAGGAGTCCAGAGGCAGCCAAGGCTGACTGAGGTGTCCCCACCGCAGCCACTGACAAACAGGGGAAGTGCCACCAGTTCCCACACGTTAGCAGGGTAGAAACGGTAGCCAATACAACCTTTTGAAATGAATTTTCCAATGATCGTTTTTAATGACATGAAGAAAAGAGTAGGAAAATCATACGGTATAGTGTTCACTACCTTTAAACACTGGAAAACTCAGGTGCTAACGGTGATTATCCCAGACTGTGGGAATTGGAATGATTTCTCCCCCTGCTTCCTATTTCTCTGTATTTTCCTTGGTCATAACAGCAATGAGCCTGTGCCACTCTTGTAATCAGGAAGTTCATTTTAGCCATTAAAGGCGGGGCGGGGCCGGGCGGGGAATGCCCTTTCTGACACTAACAGTGCCTAGATTGAACATCACACAGGTGGGCAAGGTGTGGCCGTCTTCTTTATGGCTGTGTCCCAGAACCTAGAACACAGCCAAGCACATAGGAGGTGTTCATTCCTATTTGACCACTGGTCATCTGTAGCAGACAAAAACCACCCTTTCATAAAGGTGTCAGCAACGGTACCAACCTCAGCACAGTGGTTTTGTGAAACAGGCACAGGACGTTTGACCTTCCCCCGATGAATGCAGGCTCCGGCGGGGCTCCAGGATGGGGAGAGCAGACAGCAGGGCTGCCGCTTTATCTCTTGGCCCCAGTCGCCTCCAGTAAAGAACTGAGTGCTGTTGTTCCTGGTGAAAAGGACCTTTATTTCCTTGTGCAAGTGAACACTTCAAGTCTGGCTAGTCACACTTGGGCGAGTCCTGCTCACACAAGAACTGGGGGTAGAAGAGGTACTTTAAGTTGTACTCATTTTGGGCAAAGCAGTGGGCAATCTCCTGGTCACACTTGCACATGAGTTCCTGGCATTTGTCCTCTGTGGGCCCTGGAAGAAGAGGGAAACTGAGGTCAGAGCAGGGACCTGCACGCTTGCAGGGAAACACCCAGGGAAGCCAACAAAGCTGGAGACAGGAAGGGGCAGGAATGGCACGTGGGGCACTGGACCGTTCCCGCACGTGGCCCTCGGCAGGCAGGTGGTGTCAGGCCCACTTCACAGCAAAGCTGTTGAGGTTCCACATGGCAGGCCAACATCCGAGCCCCCTGTGGCTTCTCCACGTCAGTGTTAACACTGGTCCATCTGGGGACTCACGTGGTAACACAGCAGGTGCCAGCAAGCCTTGCTGACCAGGTTTGGGATGCCTGCTCTGCTACGTCCTTGCTCTGTGAGCCCCAGACCTCATCTGAAGTGGATGCACTCTCACTTAGCGCCGTTATTGGGCAGCCTGGCTGAGAAGTGTACGAAAAGTGCCCGACACGGGGCGTGGCACTGGCTGGGAGTACTTGGTGCATTTGGCTCTTGCCTGCATGTCTCTGCCTCCTTTCTCCAAGTCTCTGGGAGATGCTCCTTCAAGAAAAAGAGCTTCCTTTAGGTGATAGTCATGTGCTGCATCTCATCCCTCCATCCAAGGTAAGTCTCCTTACTTGGGAATTCCATTCCTAAAGACTCCCTGATTGGAGACACAGACTCAAAGACCATAGTAATGGGGGATTTCCATACCCCACTTTCAGCAATGGACAGATCAACCAGACAGAAAATCAGTAAGGAAACAGCAGAGTTAATCGACACTATAGACCAAATGGACCTAACAGGTTACTACAGAACTTCCCATCCTGCAGTCTAGGAATACAAATTCTTCTCACCAGTTCATGAAACATTCTGTAGGCCACACCATAAAGCAAGTCTCAGCAAATGCAAAAAAATTGAAATCATACCATGCATTTTCTTGGATCACAATGCAATGAAGCTGGAAATCAGCATCTGAGGAATCTCTAGAGCATATGCAAACACATGGAGACTGAACAACATGCTCCTGAATGAACAGTGGGTTATAGGAGAAATCAAAAAACTTCTGGAAACAAATAAAAATGACAAATCAAAACTTATGGGGTACAGCAAAAGCAGTCTTGAAAGTTTATAGCAATTGGTACCAACATCAAGAAATTGGAAAGGCACCAATAAGTGAGCTATCAATGCATCTCAAGGATCTAGAAAAACAACAGCAAACCAAACCCAAAACTAGTAGGAGAAAATAAATAATTAAAATTAGAGAAGAAATCAACAAAATTGAATTTAAAAAACAATACAAAGGATCAGTAAAACAAAGAGCTGGTTTTTTGAAAAAAAAAAAATAGACAAAATTGACAAACCAACTAACCAAGAAAATTGGCCCAACTAACCAAGAAAATGAGAGAGAAGACCCAAATCAATAAAATTAGATATGAAAAAGGAAGTGTAACAACAGACACCACAGAAATAAAAAGAGTCATCAGAAATTACTACAAAGAACTGTATGCCAACAAACTGGGAAACCTAGAAAAAATGGATATTCTTGGACACATACAACCTACCTAAATTGAGCCATAAAGCCATAGAAAACCTAAACCACCCCATTACCAAGATGGAAACTGAATCAGTAATAAAGACCCTCCCAACAACAACAACAACAAAAAAGCCCAGAAATAGATGGCTTCAGTGCTGAATTCTATCAAACACTTAAAGAAGAACTAACTCCACTTCTTCTCAAGTTATTCAAAACCATTGAAAGGGAAAGAATCCCCTCTAATTCTATGAAGCTGGCATCACCTTAATTCCTAAACCTGAAGAATATAACACAGTGAAAAAGAACTACACAAAAATCCTCAACAACATTCTGGCCAATCGAATCCAACAACACATCAGAAAGATCATTCACTGGAACCAACTGGGATTAATCTTTGGTATGCAAGGATGGTTCAACATTTGCAAATCAATCAATGTGATATATCAGATTAACAAATTGAGGAACAAAAGCCATATGATTATCTCAATAGATGCAGAGAAAGCCTTTGATAAACTACAATACCCTTTCATGGTGAAAACTCTAAGCAAATTGCGTATAGAAGGAATATTCCTCAACACAATTAAGGCAATGTATGACCAACCCACGGTCAGCATCCTATTGAATGGGGAAAAGCTGGAAGCATTCCCACTGATATCCAGAACCAGACAAGTATGCCCACTCTCACCACTGCTATTCAATATAGTCCTGGAAGTTTTAGCCATAGACATTAGGCAAGAAAAAGAAATCAAAGGGAGTCAAGATGAGAATGAGGAAGTCCAACTATCCCTATTTGCAGATGACATGATTCTATATACAGGGGATACAAGAGACTATTGGAACTCATAGAAGAGTTTGGTAAAGTAGCAGCATATAAAATCAATACAGAGGCCGGCGCCACAGCTCAATAGGCTAATCCTCTGCCTGCAGCACCAGCACCCAGGGTTCTAGTCCTGGTTGGGGTGCCAGATTCTGTCCCGGTTGCTCCTCTTCCAGTCTAGCACTCTGCTGTGGCCCGGGAAGGCAGTGGAGGATGGCCCAAGTCCTTGGGCCCTGCACCCACATGGGAGACCAGGAGAAGCACCTGGCTCCTAGCTTCGGATCAGTGTGGTGCGCCGGCCGCAGCGGCCATTGGAAGGTGAACCAGTGGTAAAGGAAGACCTTTCTCTCTGTCTCTCTCTCTCTCACTGTCCACTCCACCTGTCAAAAAAAATCAATACACAAAAATCAATTGCCTTTATATGCACTGACAAAGCTAAGGCTGAAAAAGAACTTCTAAGATTGATCCCATTCACAATAGTTACAAAAAGAATCAAATGTCTTGTAATAAATTTAACCAAGAATGTCAAAGATCTCTACAATGAGAATTACAAAACATTAAAGAAAGAAACAGAAGAAGATACCAAAAAAAAAATGGAAAAATCTTCCATGTTCATGGATTGGAAGAATCAATATCATCAAAATGTTCATTCTTCTGAAAGCAATTTACAGATTCAATGTTATACTAATCAAAATACCAAAGACATTCTCAGATCTAGAGAAAACAATGCTGAAATGCTTATGGAAACACAGTAGACCTCAAATAGCTACAGCAATCTTATACAACAAAAACAAAGCTGGAGACATCACAAAACCAGATTTCAAGACATATTATAAGGCAGTTATAATTAAAACAACCTGGTACTGATACAAAAACAGATGGCTAGACCAATGGAACAGAATAGAAATGCCAGACGTCAATCCCAGCATCTACAACCAATTTATAATTGACAAAGGAGCTAAAACCAATCCCTGGAGCAAGGACAGTCTCTTCAACAAATGGTGCTGGGAAAATTGGATTTCCACAGTAGAAGTATGAAGCAGGACCCCTACCTTATACCTTACAAGAAAATCCAGTGGATTAAAGACCTAAATCTATGACCTGACACCATCAAATTACTGGAGAACATTGGGGAAACCCTGTTAGACACTGACACAGGCAAAGAGTTCTTGGAAAAGACCCCAGAGGCACAGACAATCAAAGCCAAGATAAACAAATGGGATTGCATCCAATTAGAAGCTTCTGTACTGCAAAAGAAACACTCAGGAAAGTGAAGAGGCAACCCACAAAATGGGAGAAATTATTTGCAAACCATGAAACTGATAAAGGATTAATAACCAGAATATATGAAGAGATCAAGAAACTCCACAAAAACAAAGCAAACAGCCCAGTTAAGAAATGGGCCAAGGGGCCGGCACTGTGCCATAGTGGGTGAAGCTGCTGCCTGCAGTGCTGGCTTCCTATGTGCGTGCCAGTTCAGGTCCCAGCCATTCCACTTCCAGTCCGGCTCTCTGCTGTGGCCTGGGAAAGCAGTGCAGGATGGCTCAATTCCTTGGGCCCCTGCATCCACGTGGGAGACCTGGAGGAGGCTCCTGGCTTTGGATCGGCATTGCTCCAGCTGTTGCAGCCAGTTGGGGAGTGGACCAGTGGATGGAGGCTCGCTCTCTCTCTCTCTCTGCCTCTCTTTCTCTGTGTAGCTCTGACTTTCAAATAAATAAGTAAATCTTTAAAAATAAAAAAGAAATGTGCCAAGGACTTAAACAGACATTTTTCAAAAGAGGAAATCCAAATGGCCAACAGACACATGAAAAAAAGTTCAGGATCACTAGCTTTCAGAGAAATGCAAGTCAAACCACAATTAAGTTTCACCTCACCCCAGTTAGAATTTCTTTCATATAGAAATCAACAAACAACAAATTCTGGTGAGGATATGGGGGAAAAGATACCTTAATCTGCTGCTGGTGGGAATGTAAACTGGTAGTAAAACCACAACCACTATGGAAGACAGTATGTAGATACTTCAAAGCCATCCCACTCCTGGGAATTTACCCAAGGGAAATGAAATCAGTAAATAAGAGTTTTCTGTACCCCCATGTTTATTGCAACTCAATTCATAATACCTAAGACATGGAATCAATCCAAATACCCATCATCAGAAGACTGGATAAAGAAATTATGGGATATGTACTCTATGGAATACCACACAGTGGTAAAAAAAATGAAATCCAGTCATTTACAACAAAATGGATGAATCTGGAAAACATCATACTGAGTGAAATAAGCCAGTCTCAAAGGGACAAATACAATATGTTCTCCCTGATCTGTGGTAACTAACAGAGCACCTAAAAGGAAATCTGCAGAAGTGAAATTGACACTTGGAGAAACAAGGACTTGAACAGTCCCTGTCTTGACTTTGGAGGAACAGTTTCTTTTTTTTTTCCTTAATGGAGATTTGGCATGGGAATGGGAGAGGAAGGAGGCGGTAGGGTGGGAGTGCGGGTGGGAGGGCGGGTATGGTGGGAAGAATCACTATATTCCTAAGGTTGTACTTGTGAAATTTGTATTCATTAAATAAAAGGTTTATTGGGGGGGGAGGAGGAGACTCCCTAATTGGGCTTGGAATGATTTTGCAGTCTTCAAGTCACATAGAAATCTCATCTAGAAGATATATAATGCCTTAAACAGCTATGGATGCATCCCTTAACCATGTCACCACTGCCTTCTGGTGTGGGCATTTAGTTCTTCACATTAAAAAAAAATCCCCACCATTAAATCCTTCCAAGTCCCTTCAAGAGGCACAGTGAGGAAGCAGGAGCTCTGCAGTCAGCCAGCTTCGTGCCTTTGGAAACACGGCAGGTGCGGCTGCCACTTGTGATGCCGCCATCCCATACCCGTGCAGTTTGGGTATTGGCTACTCTGCCTCCAGTCTAGCTCCCTGCTGACGCATTTGGAAAACCGGTGGAAGATGGTCCAAGTGCTTGGGCCCCAGCCACCTATGTGGGAGACCTGGATGGACTTCTGGGCTCTTGGGTTCAGCCTGGTCCAGTCTTGGCTTGTGGCCATTTGGGGAGTGAAGCAATGGATGGAAGATATCTCTCTTCTCTCTCTCTCTCTCTCTCTCTCTCTCTCTCTCTCTCTCTCTCCCTTTCACATAAATACATCTTTAAAAAAAAAAAAAGGACATCACTTCATCCGTCCTGGACTCAGTTTCCTCAAGACCACTATGGGGATAACAACAGTACCTACCCAAGGGCTGCTGGGAGAATCAAAGGGCCACATCAGTAAAATGCAGGGCACAGAGTTGGGACGAAGGAAGTGGAAACTCCTTCCTTCAACTGCCAGCTGATCTCCGTGCACGCTCTTGGAGACCAGAGGGAGAGGAGGCCTACGGTGAGATGGCTCACCCGCTTCTAGGAAGAGGAGGCCCAGAGTGGAACAGTTCACTGGCTTCTTCATAGGGAACACGGCCAGAGCGCATGCTAGGACAGGTGAGGCTGTCAGTGTAGGCAGAGGGCCTGAGACACTCGGAGGACCACCTGTCCAGGCCCGCGCAAGGACTGATGAAAGGAACTTAGGTGTGTGATTAAACAAGGCTTCTCACATTAGCTCAGGATCTGGCAGTTTTATTTTTTAAATATATATCTTTTAATAAAAATTTATTTATTTAATCGAAAAACAGAGAGAAATTGATCTTCCTTCTGCTGATTTAATTTCCAAATGGCCACAATGTCCAGGGATAGGCCAGGCCAAAGCCAGGAGCCAGGAACTTCTTCTTGGTCTCCTTCATGGGTGCAGGGTCCCAAGCCCTTGGGGCATCTTCCACTGCTTTCCCAGGCACATTAGCAGGGAGCTGGATAGCAAGTGGAGCAGCCAGGACTATATGGGATGCCAGCACTCTAGGCAGTCCCCAAGAATTACAGTTTCAAGAGTTCTATTTTCTTTTATTTTTCTTTCTTTCTTTCTTTCTTTCTTTCTTTCTTTCTTTCTTTCTTTCTTTCTTTCTTTCTTTCTTTCTCTCTCTCTCTCTCTCTCTCTCTCTCTCTCTCTCTCTCTCTCTCTCTCTTTCTTTCTTTCTTTCGGATTTATTTCATTTATTTGAAAGGGAGAGTGATAGAGAGATAGAGACAGAGACCTTCCATCTGCGGGCTCACTCCCCAGATGGCTACAACAGCCAGGGCTGGGCCAAACAGAAGCCAGGAGCTTCTCCTGGGTCTCCCACAGGGTGCAGAAGTGCCATCTTGCACTTCTTTCCCAGCTGCGTCAGCAGAGTTGCATTGGGAGTGGAACTGCCAGACTCAAACTGGCATCCATGTGGTTGCAGTGCCATACGCGGTGGCTTACCTGCTGTGCCACGACACTGACCCACGAGTCCTCGTTTAAATAACCTCCCTTGGGCAGTGGTGATGGCTCAGGGAATTGGGTTCCCGACACCTACGTGACAGACCTGGATTCAGTTCCTTCCTGCTCTTGATTTCAGCCTGGCCCAGTCCCAGCCACTGGGGGCAGCCGGGGAGTAGATGGGCACTCGCTGTCTGCTTACCTCTCTGCCTCTCAGATAACTTTAAAAATTCAAATACCCTCCTTTTAAAATAATGTCAGTTATTAAATAATTTAGTTATACTAACATTCATTCACATACAATTCCATCAATGTCATAAATAGAAAATCAAAATATTGAACAACAAATATAAGGAACCAATTAAAAAAGAAACCTAAGCACAAACATCAATACCAAAAACCCATGAAGATAAAAAAGTGTCATATCAGTCTAGTTACATGCTTGAAGTCTGTGAACCCCCAAGTTGGGGCATGTTGTTTAAATATAGAGAGGTTATGGGGGCTGCCACCTGTAGTGTCGCCACCCATGAGTGCCAGTTCGAGTCCCAGCTGCTCCACTTCCAATCCAGCTCTCTGCTATGGCCTGGGAAAGCAGTGGAGGATGGTCCAAGTCCCTGGGCCTCAGGAGCTCCTGACGCCTAGCTGTTGCCCCCATCTGGGGAGTGAAGCAGCGGATGGATGACCAACCTCCTCCCTCTCTCTCTCTGCCTCTCTGTAACTCTGCCTTTCAAATAAATAAATCTTTAAAAAGAGAGAGAGAGAGAGGTTAGGGAGTGTAAGAGGTCTAACCCCTCTAACAGACTGTTATAGTTTATACTGAAGAGAAAAATAAGAGGTACCAAACATGTTGCTATGTTCTTTAAAATTATGCATGTCAAACAGAAGGTAGAAAAACACCAGAAGCTTAGCGAAGGGCTGTCTGTGTGTGGCGTCTGTGGGATTCTGGCTCTTGCACCTGTATGTTTTGTAATTTCAAGCTTTGCGACCAGATGATACTTTCATCGTGGAAGAATCGATCTTATTAACAAAACTTGCAGAGTAACCACCCCAAGAATGTAACGTACAGGGGTTAGGATGCCACTTGGGATCGCCGACATCCCACATTGGAGTGCGCAGGTTCCAGTCTGGGCTCCACTTCCGACTGCAGCTACCTGCAGACACACACTCTGGGAGGCAGCAGGTGATGGCTCAAGTACCTGGTTCTTGCCACCCACCTGGAGACCTAGACAGAGTTCTGGCGCCCAGCTCCAGCCTGGCCCAGCCTGACTGGTGCAGTCATGTGGGAAACCACAGATGGGAGCTCTCTTTCTGCCTTTCAAATAAAATAACTAAATAAATCATCTTTGAACAATTAATGTACAGTGTGTTTGAGCTAAACACAGTGGCAGCTCCTAAAGGAAGTGACTTGTGAGACTTTTGGTTGCCTTCTTTCCTCCTAATCTTTATTAAGCCCCCCCCCCCATTCTCTCCTTCCCTACCCCCTACAAATAAGCATAATCTACACTTTTACTACACTTGATCTTAGCCAAAAGGCCGAGAAGCGATATAATTTACACTTTTAAAATGTAAATTATACATTAATTAAATGATACATACAAATGCCCCTTCACATAGTTCTCTATTCCCCCCTTCAGCTGTCCACCCCACCCCCAGCCCTTCTGCCATGTCAATTCTAGCAAAGCCTCAAGTAAACCATTTGCCTCAACTATTTAGGACTCTAGGATACAAAAACCCTCACAGAAACGCACACAAATCTGTGAGCACCCCTGGTCTTTGCAGCCATGTGTAGCAGCTGAGCAGGAAGTGGACAGAGTAAAGCACATTCATGTCATGGACCCAACGGACTCAACCAAGGGGGCACTCGCCAAGGTCTGCAGACATTTCTGCTTGTCACAACAGGGTGAGGAGGTGCCACGGGCATCAGGTTGGTAGAGGCTAGCAAAGTCCAGGAGGTCGTCCCACAACCAAGAATCATCTGGCCCAAGAAGCCAATGGTGTCAAGGCTGAAAACACCTGCCAACGGATTCCTAACTAACAAGCATTAAAAGAACGGGGGTCACGTACACATTCTACGATGTCCAAGACACGGTGGTAAGTGGAAAAATAAAAAAGAAACAAAGAAAATAGAAGCGGTGTAATCTCAACAGAAGTGTGTGTAGGGCTGGTGCTGTGGTGTAGCGGGTAAAGTCTCTGCCTGCAGTGCTGGCATCCATATAGGCCCTGGTTTGAGTCCCAGCTCCTCCATTTCCGATCCAGCTCTCTGCTAAGGCCTGGGAAATCAGTAGAAGATGGCCCAAGTCTTTGGATCCCCGTACCTGTGTAGGTTACATGGAGAAAGCTCCTGGCTCCTGACTTCAGATAGGTGCAGCTCTGGCCGTTGTGGCCAATTGGGAAAAGAACTAGCAGATGGAAGACCTCTCTCCCTCTCTCTCTCTGCCTCTCCTCTCTCTGTGTAACTCTGCCTTTCAAATAAATAAATAAATCTTTAAGAAAAAAAAAAAGTAAGACTTGCCTACATGGTTCCATGGCCTCAGGAACCCAACAGAATCACATTGTTCAAGAAGAATAAACACAGTGGGTGGGCGGTTGTGGCACAGCAGGTTAAGCTGCTACCCCAAATGTCCACATCCCATATCAGGGGGCTGGCTGGAGTCTCAGCTGCCCTTTTTTTTTTTTTTTTTTTTTGACAGGAAGAGTGGACAGTGAGAGAGAGAGAGAGATACAGAGAGAAAGGTCTTCCTTTTCCGTTTGTTCATCCCCCAATGGCCGCTGCGGCTGGTGCGTTGTGCCCAGCGTACTGCGCTGATGCTAAGCCAGAAGCCAGGTGCTTCTCCTGGTCTCCCATACAGCTGCAGGGCCCAAGCACTTGGGCCATCATCCACTGCATTCCCGGGCCACAGCACAGAGCTGACAGGAAGAGGAGCGACCGGGACAGAATGCAGCGCCCCAACCGGGACTAGAACCCGGGGTGCTGGCGCCGCAGGTGGAGCATTAGCCTAGTGAGCCGTGTCAGCTGCCCATTTTCAATCCAACTCCCTGTTACTGCATCCAAGGAGGCAGTGGTTCAAGAGTTTGGGCCCTGCCTCCCACGTGGGAGACCCAGATGCTAATTGGATCTCCTGGCTTTGGCCTGCCCTGGCTGTTGCAGACATCTGGGAAGTGAACCAGCAGATGGAAACTCAATCTTTCTCTCTTTTTCTCTCTCTGCTGCTCTTTCAAATACATGAAAATAAATGAATAAACATTTTTAAAAATCCAAAGAATCACAATGTGAAAGAAAAAATAGCCACCACGGGTTAAGCTTACAATTAAGGCCTGACAGTAAATATTATTATACCCTCAAAAAATGTAATGTATTTGTCAGGTCCATAAATGGAAAATGGGCAAAACCTGTAAACAAACAACCAAGTTCAGAATATCCCCAAACAGAGTAAGAGGATATTTTTAGCGAAAAAATGCATAACAGATACCTTGGTTCTTTCTGTTGGGTTCGGGAAGGCTGGCCCTGTAAACAGGCATGGACCCCACCAGCACACACGGCAGTAAACGGTCCACAAACATTCGCACGTGAGTAAGAGCGAGCAGAACAGGCCGGTTGAAGGGAAAACAAAGATCTTCAGCAGCTATCCCAATCAGGCCTCACTTCACCTCCTCCTCTCTGTCCACACTAGAAGGCGGCAGTTTAAGGACGAGCTACTTCCTCTCCTATGGGCCTCAGTTTCCCCAACGATAAATGACATGTTTGAAACATGACATCAAGAGATTCTCAGGCCTCAAGATAGAGATTATGTCTCCACGTTAACTCGGCTTTGCTCTTATGCCAAATCCTAATGCGCAGTGCGGGAACACGACCCAGGATCTGCGTCCTCCCAGGGGGCAGGCATCTGGGACCCAGGGTGAAGATGCTGCTTCTATGCCCACCTGGATCAAAGGGCCTGGGTCTGTGTCTTGGCTCTGCTTCCAATTCCAGCTTCTCACTGACACACCCCCTGGGAGGCAGCAGGTGATGGCTCAGGTACTCAGGTCTCTGCCAGCCTTGTGGGAAACGTGGACTGGGATCTGGGCTCCTGGCTTTGGCCTGGCCCGGCCCTGGCTACTGCAGGCATTTTTAGCTGAACCAGAAGATAAAAGATCTCTCCTTCTCTCTCTCTTTTCTCTTTCTCTCTTTCTCTGCCTTTCAATAAAAAAAAATGAAATAGGACCCCTTATCTCACTCTACAAATTAAAATTAGTACAAAATGGATCAATTGGGCTGGCGCTGTGGCTCAATAAGCTAATCCTCCGCCTTGCAGCGCCAGCACACCGGGTTCTAGTCCCGGTCGGGGCGCCGGATTCTGTCTCGGTTGCCCTTCTTCCAGGCCAGCTCTCTGCTGTGGCCCGGGAGTGCAGTGGAGGATGGCCCAAGTGCTTGGGCCCTGCACCCCATGGGAGACCAGGATAAGCACCTGGCTCCTGCCATCGGATCAGCGCGATGCACAGGCTGCAGTGCGCCAGCCGCAGCGGCCATTGGAGGGTGAACCAACGGCAAAAGGAAGACCTTTCTCTCTGTCTCTCTCTCTCACTGTACACTCTGCCTGTCAATTGCCTAAATGTGAGTTAAAACTATAAAACCATTAGAAGAAAACAAAAGGGAAAACTTTGATGACCTTGGATTTGGCAACAGATTCTTAGGACAACAAAAACTCGAGCCACTAAAGGCAAAACAGGTAAGTTGGTCTTCATCACAACTAAATATATTTGTGCACCAAGTTCATTAGCAATAAAATTAGGACAGCCTACAGAAGTCAAGAAAACATTTGCAGATCACAGATCAATTTCCAATATCCAAAATGCAGAAACAACTCTGACAACTCAACAACAAAAAGACAGAAATGCAATTATAAAGGGACAAAGGGGCAGCAGGCATGTGGCCTGATAGCTAAGACGCCTGCGTCCCACCCTGGAGGACCTGGGTTTGATTTCTGGCTCTGGCCTCTGATTCCAGCTCCCTGCTAATGCAGACCCTGGGAGGCCGCATGACGGCTCCAGCTACTGGGTTCTGCTACCTTGTAGGAGACCTGGATGGAGTTCCTGGCTCTCAGCTCTGGCCCCAGCTCAGCCCCAGCCATTGCAGGCATTTGGCCAGTGAACTAGTGGAGGGGAATTTGTTTCTCTCTTGTGGGGAGCAATCCGGACTGGACTGAGTTACTGGAATTAAGACTTATTCTATGCATCTGCTCTCCCACAATATGGCGCTGGGAGAGAAGTAAACAGCTTCCGCACAGCTGCCTCCAGTTCAACTAATAAACTGTAGGACTTGCTCCTGATTGGAGAGCAGCGTACTCGGCGTGTGGGCAGCCGAGTTGGGATTGGCGGAGGAGGACTATAAAGGAGGAGAGAGACGGCATGCACCAGGAACATCTAAGGGGAACATCTAAGGGAACACCTGTGCAGCCCCCGAGAAGAGCCGGCCGGCGGTGTGCCGCTCCCCTGCGGAAGTGGGGAATGCGGCCAGGGGGAACTGCCCTTCCACGGAGGTGGAAGGGATAGTAGCCAACCCGGGAAGAACCAGCAGCAAACCCGGGGAGGGCCGAGCAGCAGAAAGAACAGCGCAGGGTCCTGTGTCGTTCCTCCACGAAGAGGGGGAGCGACACTCTCTCTCTCCCTATTTCTCTGCCTCCCAAATAAACACTTTCAAAGATGGACAAAGGATATGAATAGAAATTTCTCCAAAGATACAAGAGTGGCTAAGAGGCACATGAAAACATGCGCAACATCATCAGTGATTAGGGAAAAGCAAGTCAAATGACACAACGAGATCCTGCTTCACACCCACCAAGAAAAATCCAAACTGCAACACAGCAGCGCTCACAAGACTGCTGAGACCCTGGATCCCTCACGCGTGCTGGAGGCACTGTGCAGCGTGGTGAACCAGCCGGAGGTTCTTCAGAAAGCAACGCAGACGCCCTGTGACTCAGCCAGTCTCCTCCTGGGCACACATTCCACAGAACTGCAAACAGGGACTCACACAAACACTTGCTCATGAGTGTATGCAGCTGTGCTGTTCACAACAGCCAGGAGTTGGAAACAACGCAAATGCCCATAACTGAATGATGGGATAAACGAAACAGCACATTCATCACAGTGGAAGATGATTTCCCCATCAGAGGGCCAAAGTGCCAAGGCCTGAAGATGAATGAACTGCAGAAACAAGATGCTAAGTGAAAGAAGCCAGACTCGGCCTGCTCTGCGGCTCACTAGGCTAATCCTCCGCCTGCGGCACTGGCACCCTGGGTTCTAGTCCCGGTTGGGGCACCGGATTCTGTCCCGGTTGCTCCTCTTCCAAGCCAGCTCTCTGCTGTGGCCTGGGAAGGCAGTGGAGGATGGCCTAAGTCCTTGGGCCCTGCACCTACATGGGAAACCAGGAGAAGCACCTGGCTTCGGATCAGCATGGTGCGCCGGCCGCAGCAGCCATTGGGGGGTGAGCCAACGGAAAAGGAAGACCTTTTTCTCTGTCTCTCTCTCTGTCTACTCTGCCTGTCCAAAACAAAAAAAAAAAAAAAGGAAGCCAGACTCAAAAGACTCCTATTGTCCCTGATTTCTGTGAATATCCAGACCAGGTAAATCCCAACAGATGGAAAGCCAAGGGCAAGGTTGCCAGGTGCTGGTGGGGGTGGGACAGAGGAATGGGGACTGTTTGCTCAATGGGGATGGTTTCTTGCTTTCTTTTCTTTCTTCTTTTTTTTTTTTTTAAAGGTTTATTTACTTATTTGAAAGGCAGGGTAAGAGAGAAAGAGAGAGACAGAGATTTCCCACACAGCTGCAACAGCCGGGCTGGGCCAGGATGAAGCCAGGAGTCACGAACTGTGTTCCTGCTTCCCTCCTGGGTGGTAGGGACTCAAGTACTTGAGCCCATCCCTTGCTGTCTCCCAAGTGCAACAGCAGGAAGCTAGATGGGAAGTGGAGGTACTCCGATATGGGATGCAGGTGTCACAAGCAGCGGCTTAACCTGCTCTCCCATAATGCCTGTGCACAGGTGGGCAGTTTTTTGTTTTGTTTTTTTGAGAAAAGGTGAGGAAAACCTTTTGATGCTGACTGGATAACATTGAGAATTGACCAACTGGATTGTACACTTAAATGGCCAATATTACATTTACTTCCAAATGAAAAAAAGGGATGGAACCATTCGTCTGGGTCACTTCTATCCTCAGATAACTTCAAGTGTCAGGGCCCAAACTCTGCCTTCCCTGCATTCTGCCTGCATTGTTACTTGCTTCTGAGTTTTTTTTTTTTTAATTGATTCAATTTTTTTACTTTTTTGGTAGGAACAAAACATGGAAAATTATCAACCATCAGAAGATCTCAAAAATAAATCCCCCATTCCTTTCCCAATCAGTGTGTTAAAAAAGAAAACAAAACAAAAACAGTAAAGTTGCTCTGAGCAACACTTAACATTTTTAAGTTTTTGTTGTTCTTTTAACTTTAGAAATGACTGGTTATGTAAAATGGATCCTGGATGTTAGAATGGAGTATGGAACAGTTATCCTCATTAAATACAAGTTGCTTGTGGTGAGACGGAGAGGGAGAGAGAGACTTTTTTTAAAAGCCAGAATTAAAAGTAGGTATAGCCGGCACCGTGGCTCATTTGGCTTATCCTCAGATTGTGGCGCTGGCACCCCAGGTTCTAGTCCCGGTCGGGGCGCTGGATTCTGTCCCGGTTGCTCCTCTTCCAGTCCAGCTCTCTGCTGTGGCCTGGGAAGGCAGTGGAGGATGGCCTAAGTCCTTGGGCCCTGCACCCGCATGGGAGACCAGGAGGAGGCACCTGGCTTGTGGCTTCGGATCGGCTCAGCGCACTGGCCGTAGCAGCCATTTGGGGGGTGAACCAATAGAAGGAAGACCTTTCTCTGCCTGTCTCTCTCACTGTCTAACTCTGTCAAATAAACAAAATAAAATTATTATTATTTTTTTTTTTGACAGGCAGAGTGGACAGTGAGAGAGACAGAGAGAAAGGTCTTCCTTTTGCCGTTGGTTCACCCTCCAATGGCCGCCACGGCTGGCGCGCTGCAGCCAGCACACCGTGCTGATCCGATGGCAGGAGCCAGGTGCTTCTCCTGGTCTCCCACGGGGTGCAGGGCCCAAGCACTTGGGCCATCCTCCACTGCACTCCCTGGCCACAGCAGAGAGCTGGCCTGGAAGAGGGGCAACCGAGACAGAATCCAGCGCCCCAACCGGGACTAGAACCTGGTGTGCCGGCGCCGCAAGGTGGAGGATTAGCCTAGTGAGCCGCGGCGCCGGCCAAAATAAAATTATTTTAAAAATGAAGCAAAAGGATTGAAAGAGATGGCTGTTTTGTTTGGTGGCTCAGAGTTAGAGCTATGTCTATGCACTGCCCCAAATCCTGTGCTGGTGCACTCTCAGTGTGTCACCCTCCCTGGAGGGGCTGTGTCTCGTCATTTCTCCACGACATCTGCTGTGCACGAGTCACCACTGCACTGTCACGTCCTTTTCTTAGGAGATAGCCCTTATCTCTGGCCCTGGTTTACAGATAAGAAAACTAGGGCTCAGAGAACTCAGCACTTGCACCAGATCTTACAACTAGAAAGAAACCCAGGCAGAATCCGAATCAATGACTGTGATGTCGACCACTAGGCCAGTGTTTGCCAACTCCCATGTTCACCAGGACAGCTACGGTTCACGTGAGACACAGAGGAAGCGCTCCAATCACAGCACGGCTCTTCATTCTGACAAGCAAAGGGTTCACGCTCCCCTCCTTCCTGAAACATTCAGCCCTTTGGTCGATCTTCCGCTTTCCCAGAAATATTTCCCTTTCATAGCAAAATCATCAGGGCAATGACATATGGTAACTGACACCTGGCCTCAATGCTAGACAATGGAGCATGGTGGGGACTGCAGCAGATGGAAGAGAGAGGTCAGGCCTATAAGTGGCAGCCCCCTCTAAGCTCCAGCCAATGGGTTCTCCTGGGCCTGGTGCTGTTAGCGCCTCCAACTTTCTTTTATTATTTATTAAGATGATGATGATGGTTGTTAGTTTATTTATGCGAGAAGTACAGAGACAGGGAGAGAAAGACAGACAGGTATAGAGAGTTCCCATCTGCCGATTTGCACCTCAAATGCTTGCAATGACCAAGTCTGGGCCAGGTGAAAGCCAGGAGACAGGGACTCCATCCAGGTCTCCCATGTGGATGGCAGGGACCCAACCACTTGAGCCATCCCTCACTGCCTTCTAGGGTCTGCATTAACAGGAAGCTCGAATTGGGAGTAGAGCTGAGAATTGAAACCAGGCACTCCGATATGGGAGATGGGTGTCCTGAGCACCATCTTTACCCTTAGGCCAAATGTCAGACCTTCCTTTATAACTTTTAATTCACAACTAATTCACAAAGGCATTCTCTTTGTAACAACTGGAACATAAAAACAACTCAAAGCTGCCTTCTACCATTGCCTCCCTCAATCTGATCCTGTCCCCAGAGACAACCACAGCCATCCTTAGTTTGGAGAGAATCCTTACATACCTTTTTCTGAATTTTCTATGTGCCTATACATGGCCACAGAAAGCCATATGGCTTCTACTTCTCAAGTTTCTTTTCTTTTCTAAGTACAGGGGTGTTATACTGGCAAAATCATTCTGTAGTTAGTTTTTTCTCTCCACATCTTCCTATGCTGGCAGGAAAGTCCACCTTATCTTTTCTCCAGATTGTAGTCATGGGTGTGTTTACCCAGGCCTCTGCGGATGGGCTTGGTTGTTTACACCAGGTGTCATTGCTATCTTTTTTCATTTAGTCTAGACAGCAGAGAAAGGGGTTGTTTTGTTTGCCAAGTGCTCTGCATCATTTACAAGAGATGAACCCACAGGGTGGCCCGTGGAGAGCTGAGAGCTGTGGAATGTTATCACAACAAGGGCACACGCTCCTGGGCAGCGCCAGGGTGCTGGGGGACGGCTGGTGTGGGCAGCGCAGAGGACTCACCACACAGGACCTGCTGACCGACACACTCCCAGGGGTAGTGCTCCATCTTGGGACTGCAGCCGGCCTCTTCGGCTCGAGCGTAACAGCAGTCGTGGCGGTGGCAACACCTATGGGCAGCAGAGAGCAGACCTGTAAGTGGATGCAGGCAGGGTGCCCTCGTGGCCACCCTCCCTTGCTGGGACTACGGGTGAGTGAAGATTATCCCCGTCTGGGAGAGAACACCACTGGTCCCTGCGTGTCCTGCACTGACCCCGTCCCTGCAGCATTCCTGAGCCTGGTCCCTGCCTGCTTTACTCTGAGTCTCTGAGCTCTAACCCTGGGGCCTCCTCTCTGTTCTCAGAGGGCACCAGGCCCCGCCCCCACTCGCCCAGGTTGTGCCCTCTGCCTGGGATGACCCCATCCACTCTTCATCCTTTTGGACCAGCCCAACCACCAACCCACACCCCAGGATCTCAGCCCGGCTCCTGCTGTCTCACTTGGCTGTGGCCGCGCCCTTGTTATGCCCTCCCATAAAACACACCTCCCTCTCTTCACTGCACTCATTAAAAACCCTGCTCATGTCTGCAGCCACGGTGCCTCCAGCTCTGCCCAGGCCCTGACATGTCATCAGGCCTCAGTAAACTTCCCCTGAACAATTCCGTGAGGAACTCCCCCAGTTTCCCCTATGCCTGTCAATCATTCATTCATCCTCCCATTCATTCATCCCCTGGCATTCTCTCCATCCACCCACCAGCCTCACTCGTGGAGCTCCTGCCCTGCCCTCTGGAAGGTAGGGGAGACAGGTCACCAGATACGTGCACAGCGAGGTGCGGGGTAAGCAGAGGGGACCTGGGAGGCCAGGGGAGGGGCAGACCCAGCAAGGCTTCAGGGAAGACATCTCTAGGAAACATCACCAAATTGTGGCGGCAAGCAACCAGAGGCAGGAGCATCCAAGGCCCGGGGAGAATCAAGACCTCTGCGTGACAATCCCAGCTCCCCATCTGGGTCTTTCCTCAAGGCCTTGACTAGCGGGGACCCTCTAGCCTGGGGGCACAAACGTGCACTCACCAGTCGACGGCATCGCGGGGCTGGCCGTGGCCGCCCAGGCCACAGAAGCAGCCGTAGTCGACATAGGCCATGGGGCTCCGGGTGCCGACACAACTCACAGTCCCTGCCAGGTCCAGAATCCCACGCCGGTGCACATGTGACCTCCTGGAGGCTGGGGTGGCTGGGGAGGGTGGGGGTCAACAAAGGTCAGAGGTCACTGACAGGGCCTCCTTGGCCCTAGGGAGGGCAGTAATGTGAGAAGGGCATTGCAGCTTCACTCCTGGGTTTGAACCTGCCTCCCTAGCTGTGGACACATCACTATCTTCTCTGTGCCTTGGCTTCTTCACCTGTGAGGTGGGGGATGAGGCGGCCTCAGCTCACAGAGCGAAGTGAGGTAAGGCCTGTCAGGCACCTGGCACGTTCTGCTATCAATATCCTCAAGGCAGCCATGAAAGGAGAAATGAATCAGAGGTCACAACAGGTTGTGGGAGGTCCTACCACTGGGCCTTTGCACAGACTGGTGCTGCTCCCGGGAAGGCCCTGCCAACCAAGCCCCTGCACCTAGCACAATCCGACTGTAAGCCGGATTTGTGTATCAAATTGCATATGAAATGTTCATCCTGCCACCTATGCAGGAACCGGGCATCAGGACGCTAGCTAGCATCCTTGTCACTGGGGAGGGCTCCTCTGTGGGGCTTCCCAGTCCCTGGGCCTGCCCTGGGCCCCACCCTCCTTCCCCTCTAGACACTGGCCTGGAGATGGTTGAATCTCCTCCTCTTCACTGCCCACACACAGCTTCCTCCCAGACGGGGTGCTCCTTAGGCTGTACCCATCCATGTCCCCGTGTCCCGACACAGCTCAGCTACACAGCAGGGCCCAATCAATGCATCTGACAGGTGAGGAAGAGGAGGCCAGCTGTGGGGAAAGCGACTCCCACACTCCACAGCCAGCAAGATTCTGAGCTCAGCCTGCAACACCGGCTTCTGGCTTGCAAAGCGCTGCTCCTTCCTCCTGGCCCTGGAACAGCAGGGGAGGGAGGCTGCCAGGGTGCCAGGCCTAGGGGCATTGGCAGCACAGCGGAGACTCGGGCCCAGGGTGGCCTGTTTGTGGGGAGGCTGCTGGACAGAGAGCCAGTGCGCTGGGGGCTGAGCATGCGATTTGTACCTAGAGCATGTGTCCCTCGCTCAGACTTTGGTGAGAAATCCAGATCAAGTTTAACTCCTGCTTATTTTTTTCACATGAGGAACCAGGAGCAGCTTCACATTGGGAGATGGAGATGAATCCATAGGCAGCAAATGTGAAAATGAGCTCAGGGTTCGGAGCCTCACCTTGTCCTCACTCTTCCAGCAGCCTCACCCCTGCCTCCAACCTTCCATGGCTCCCGTGGAGTGTGGCTAAAGCTCAGGGGTCTCACTGTACCCCAAGGCCCTGCATGGGTCACCCCCCACTTCAGTGTCCTCTCTGTGCACTGACACTTGTCACATATGCCTTCTGCTGCACGTGCCCTCCCTCCACCCTCCGACAGCTCCCAGCTGCCTCCTCCTGGAATCTGCCTCGCCTACTCCGGTGACCATCACTACCTGTGCTTCTGTCTGCATATTGGGGTTGGGGGAGGCTCTAGTCTGGAAGTCCTGGGGAGAGAACCCTGGCACAGAGGCAGCGGCTGTGTGGGCAGGTCCTCTGCAGCCACCATTGAACACTAGACTCTCAGCCCCCTCCCACAGGGTCCTGGTCTCAACTCCACACACCAATGCTGTCCCCAGGTGTTCTTCAACCTAGCATGACCACTTTCTGATATCTCAGAGCCTTTGTCTCTGGAGGGCCCAGGCATGGGGCGGGCACCCAGCCCTGGGTTTGGAACCAAGGAAAACTCCCTTTGTGCCAACATAGGTGGAGCAGGTCATGCTGGGGTCTGTTTGCTCTGTCTGCCCGCGTAGGCTCTTCATTGAATGCCAGGGCTTCTGTGGCATCCGATGTCCCCAGGTCTCTGACTGTATGTGTATGTGGACGCCCACTGGGCACCTGCATGTGCCCTGGGGCTGTCTCAGGTGTCCCTGTGCCACGTGAGCTTGGGCTGCTATCAGAGGAACTTGGCTGGTCTGCAGCTGGGCTCTGTCCGTGAACCTGTGCAGCAGCTGTGCACGTGAGTGCCCAGGTGAGTCTGGGGGCTGCTCCCTGTGAGGATCACCAAGGGAACTCTCCAGGGGTGGGAGAGGAGGGGACAGCATGATTCCCCCACCCCCGAGCCAGGTCCCTTCTGCCCCTGCTTCTCCCACCCTGTGGTGTCCACCTGGTGATCTTACCTGAGACCCGGGGATAGGTGACAGGGTCACTGCACAGGACCACCACAGAGGGTGAGAAGGGCTCCAGGGCTGGTGGGTGGGGTGGGGTCTGGGACGGGCTCTGACCCCTTGGAGGAGTGAGTGAAAGGCAGGACTCTAAAGAGGGCTGAGGGACAGGGATCCTGGATCCCTGGGAAAGATGCAGGGAAGGGCATCAGAAGAGAGGGTTGGGGGCAGTAGGGAGGGCCGCGGGAGTCTCTGGAGCCTGCTTTCCCACTCACCCGCTGTGCGTCCAGGCCCGGGTCCCAGCGGCGGCAGTGGGAGCAGCAGCAGCAGCAGCAGCAGCATTGGCGAGCACAGAGGTAGTGGACTGTCGGTGGCGGCAGGTGTGGAACTATCCTGCCGGCTGCTGTAGTCACCCAGCCTGGGGCCGACCCCCACCCAGGCCTCCGAACAGCCCCGCCCCCGGCCTCACCTTCCTGGGCTGGGCGGAGCCAGGCAGGGGCGGACACCTGGGGCCAAGCCCAGCACACTGATCTCAGCCTCTGGGACTGGGATGTGGTGCTTCCATCAGGAGAGTCAGGCTCTGCGATGCCTCCACGGAGCAAAGAAGCACAAAGGTGCTCTGTTGCTGGGACCTGCAACCCCTGCCTGCTCACCTGGGCGTCCAAAACAAGCAAAAGACTTGGGCAAAGGGTAGTGCTGAATTTACCTAACAATGTTTTTAGAAAGATTTCATTATGTGAAAGAGTTATATATAGAGAGCAGACTAAATAAAAAGAACCTCCATCCACTGGTTCGTTCCCCAAATGGCCACAATAACTGCAGGTTGGGCCAGGAGTCAGGAGCTTCATCCCGGTCTCACACGGACGGTCAGAGCCCAAGTACTTGGGCTATCGTCCATTGCTTTCTCAGGCCATAAGCAGAGAGCTGGGTCAGAAATGGAGCAGCCATGACTCAACCCACCATCCATATGGAATGCCTGCGGCTTAATCCACTGCACCACAGCACTGGTCCCAACCTTAACCATTTTCAATGCAGGAAACTGCTTCTGACACCCTCAAAACTGACTCCCCACAATCTGCCCACCACCCCCACCATCACCACCCCCACCATCACCACCAGCACTATCACCACCACTACCATCCCCACCCCCACTATCACCACCACCACTATCACCACCACTATCACCACTGCAGCCAGAGATTAGCCTGCGATCACCCCATGGGTTCTGGTGACAGGCAGGGCTGCAGGCTGCACAGAGAGGCAGAGGCTGCCTGAGCCAGCCCAGCATCTCACTCCCTCCTGCCTGTCCAAGGCCCATAAAAGACCTCCACCAAGGGACTGAGCTGAGGACAGTGTAGACAGTGGGCACTCAATATTGACAAGGGATGACAATTATGGTGCACAATATGTGTTCCCTTTTAGCTCTTGGAGCAGCGGGTCAATCAGTTACCCACTTCTGTTAGTGTGGCCTCGTCACTTATCTGAGTAGCCCCTGAGGACAGGTTAAGGGCCAGCTCCTCCCTCCTCAGCCACTGTCTGGGGAAGACAGCAGCAGCCGAGGTGATGTGGTGTCTGCAGGCGTCTATGGTGAAGATGGTGGTGCCAGCACTGGGTCTGGGGACTTCTCAGCACCTCAGCCCTTTGTTATTCCTTGCAAGGAAAACCCTGGGGCCAGAGAAGAGGAGAGCCCAGAGCAGGGGAACTGAGGGTCCTCGTCATTTCCTCCTTGCCTCTCTCAGGCTCTGTCTGTGGAAATCCAAGGCCTTGGTCCCCGTGGCTGTGACACTGTGGACTCAGCGTCTCTCTGCTGGGGTGTGAGCCCCTCCAGGCAAATCCAGCCTCATTGTCTAGCCCACTGCAGGTCCTCAAGAAAAGCTTTTCTGTATAGGTTATGGATTTGCGGTGGTCCAGGTCTTGGGGCTGCAGAGCCTCAGTGAGCTGTGTCCATTAGGAAATGGGGCTAACTCAGAAGTCGGGGCTCCCCTGGCCTCTTTGCCCATAGCCCTCCCTGCCTAGCATGGCCCCCAGCAAATGGTCATGTGCACTGGCTCAGTATTGGCTTTGAAACTGAAGCCTGAGGAGAGCGGGTTGCCCATTTGACAGGTGACAAAGCTGAGCTCAGAACAGGGACAGGCCAAGAAAGGAATGAGGGAGACAGAGCTAACCATGAGGCTCACCCTGTTTTCCATTCAGTCATCCTCTCAGCCCCCAGCAGGGGCTCACCACAGCTGCAGGACCAGGTCCTGTGCTGGGCTAGAAGGGGACCGGCCACACTTTCTGTCTCAAGATGCCCATCTGGGGCTGGAGGGACAGGCTGAGAGCTTGGACAGTGTTGGCTGTGGGTGCCCTGAATTGGGGTGCGTATTCCCTGTGGTTGCTGATAGCAGAGTCTGGATCCAGGACTCTCAGGCATGTATATCCAGGGAGCTGAGGGAGTAACTGGGAGAGCGGAGGAGGAGAGAGGAAGCCACCACAAGGGACAGCACACAGAGGGCGACTGAGGGTTTTTCCCAACAGGATCTCCCAGGGAACCTTCCAGAAGCATGATCCCCACTTCCTGTCTCCCAGTGGTTGAGGACTGCCCTGAGGAGAGCCAGGCAGGAAGTGAGGTCACAGTCTGCATGGCTAGAACCTGAGCTGAGGCCAGAGGATGGGAGCCAGCAAGTAGGAAGGCTCCAGTCCCTCCCCAAGCCAGGCCCATGGGGTCAGTGAGGTCTGAGAACATTCTCCAGCCCAGATGACTAAGCTGAACTTGCCCCCAGGTGGCTGGAGTTGGGTGAGAGACACAGAGAAAGCAAGCTAGGCAGAGGGACCTGCGTACGCCAAGGGGAAGTCACAGGACAGAGCCCGGTGCAAGAGGGGGCTCCCAGAACACCAAGGGGCAGCGAACAATGCTGCAGACGTGAAGGTGAGCCTGGTGGGCAAACCGGGCACGAAAATGCAACCAGGACTCCAATGCTATTTTCGTCTTCATACTGGGGTCAGATGGAAGAAACCGATTTCTGTTGCGAAAGATTATGAAACCATGGGCAGTTATCCATGGTGAACTTGAAGTTAGAGAGAGAACATCAGTGGGAAAAATCCAAGGAAAGTACAACAAAATGCAAAACACAAATTTCCTGCTGTCTGGGACACTGGTGCTACCACCACTTGCAGAATGTGCTGACCCCCTTTTGCCAGGACCATAGTTCCCCATGCCATCTGTAGGCTGGGGGTGGGGGTGGGGTGGAGCTTGGAAATGTGCATGGGAGGGGCCCAGTTCAGGGTTTAGCAGACACAGCCAATGGCCAGGCTTCCTTCCTGCCATATGACTGTTGCTGTTCCCCAGGACAGGCTACTCCCTTGTCGTGTGGGGGAGTGAGCCACTGAGCACTGGGGTCACTTGTTTTCCTGTCCTAGCACTGCTGGACCTGACGGATGCACCCAAGGCACTGATGTCATGAGAGCAATAAAGTGAGGGGGTTTACCCGTACCTGGGAGATGGGGGCGAGCCCATTTCCCTGTGTGCCTCGGTCCCCTCCACTGTCAGGTGGGCCAGAGGGAGGCTGGGAAGAGCAGCAAGGAGAAGGGGACAGGTTATTTCCCAGGAACGAAGTTAAGGTTAGGGGTCGGCGTTGTGGTGCAGCAGGTCAAGCTGCTACCTGTGATGCTGGAATCTCATATGAGCACTTCCAATCCAGCTCCACTTCCAATCCAGCTCCCTCCTAATGTACCTGGGAAAGCAACAGAAGATGGCCCAAGTGCTTGGGTCCCTGTCACACATGTGGGAGACCTGGATGAAGATTCTGGCTTCAGCCTGGCTCAGTCCCAGCCTTTGCAGCCATTTGGGGGGTGAACTAGTGGATGGAAGACCTCTGTCTCTCTCCCGCTGCCTGCTCCCCCTCTGTACCTCTACCTTTCATAAATAAAATCTTTTTAAAAAAGTTACAGTTAGGTAGGAATAAGACATTCTGAGGTTCTGTTGGATAGTAGGGTGACCACAGATAAAGATAACGTACTGAATATTTTTCCAAAAAAAAAAAAAAAACTAGAAGGAGAGGATTTTGAGTGTTTTCAACGTTTCTTTATGATAGACGTCTGAGAGGATAGCTATGTAGACCCTGACGGGACATTACCCAGCATACACATATATTGAGCCATCGTGACTGCACCTCATAAATACATACAATATTCATGTGTCAACTAAAATTTTATTTTAAAAACAGATGACTGGGAAAGTGGAGTCGATAAGATAACTCTGACAGAATTTTGCTCTGGGTGTAGTAAACAGCTCAGAGCGAATCCTCAATACTTTTTGTCTAACATTAGTCTACTGCTCGCTCTGTGACTATTCTGGTGGGCGGGAGGGGAGACCAGGTCTGCCAACTCCAGCCGTGGACCCTGGGGCAGCACAGCATCTGTCAGTAGGTTTGAAAAACTTAGAGAGAGAGAGAGAGAGGTGGGGAGGGAGAGGGGAAAGGGAAGGAAGAATAGTGGAGAGGGGAGAACTTGCTTCTGCCCTCCCTCTGCCTGGAATTGAACTTGAACACACTGAATTACAGTGTGTACACTCTGGGTGGGGTATGTCAGCTGGTCCACCCGGAAGCAGGTGCTGAGACGGATATAGGAGTGCCAAGGTTTATTAGGGAGAGACACTGGCCCAGATCAGAGGGATGCAGAATGGCGCAGGGGAAAATGTCAGACTCATAAGCAGACCTGATGCCGTTTCTTCATTTACCATAACCACAGCCTGCAGGCCACCTCCGAGAGTTCCTTTCCATGTCACAACAGTGGTCCTAATGGGGCACAAAGGGTTTGGGTCATTTGGATCAGGTCCCATTTTCCCATGGACACATTCTGTCTTCCCTAACATTCTATAGCCAAGGATGACCGCTGGCGTGTGCCTGCACCCACAGATCCTTGTGTAATGAAATCACATCAGCCTTCAGCTCCCAGCTCTGTGACGTTACACTTTCTCATAACCACACTTTCTTTATCTGGGGAAGCTGAACTTGAACAAGCCAGGGTGTTTTGCAGTGGGGCTTGTAAATCTCTTGGCCTGAGCGCCACGTGCACCCAGTTCAATCGCACATGCTGCAGTGGACCTTGCTGTGTAAGTACGCGAGCCCCGTGGTTGCTGGCTCTTCTGCAGGGCGCTTTCTTTCCCTGTGTGTTCTAGCCGCCTCTTCCTCACAGTGTCCTCAGGAACCAGCAGGGTCCCCGGGTCACAGATGCCTGGGCTGGGGTGCACAGGAGCCCCCACAGCTCATGGGTATCAGCAGGGGCACAGGGAGAGAGATCCCATGTTGCCCCAGGTGGAGCTGAGCAGTCAGGGCATGGCTGGAGGAGGCTGGGATGTGGTGAGTGGCGCCCAGCTGGGCACTGCACAGTTAGGCTCAGTTCCCCTGGAGCCTGCTCACCATGAGGCAGAGGCAGCTGCCCACTGCCCTGGACCCAGCTTCACAAAGTCTCCTGATAGGACCATGGTCAACTTCCCTGACCTCCAGGGCATGGGTTCTCACACCGACCCAGAAGTCGCCCACCCTGGGAATCCCTCAGCCTTCCTCCCTCAGACTAGGGATGAAGGGCTCCAGGGCACAAGGGGACTCTGAGCAGGGTGGGGCGGTGGCCCACCTGGGGTGGTGAGGATGCTTCTGCAGCAGCCACCTCCCATGGCCTTCCCACGCCCTGCTCTCACTGCCTGCCCTGCCTGGGTGCCTTCCAGCCCCAGGTTCCTGGCCAGCCCCATGCTGGTGTTGCCAAGCCCTACAGTAGGGCAGCGACATTACTGTCTGGATTCCCAGTGAGTCAGAGAAGAGTACACTTTGCAAGTCAGTCCCCCCGCTCTGCCCCCACCGCCATACAGATCAACGTACCGAATGCTGGGTACAGAGGCCCCCAGAACGGAGAGGGCAGCTCACAGCCCATGAATGGCTTGAAAGGGCCGCCCCTGTAGTGGGAGTAGGGCATGGAAGGCATTCCCCAGCCAGGAAGGTGCCCCCGTGACTCCGTGTGGACCTATGGAACACAAGTTACAGCAACACTGATGTGACGGAGAAAAGCACTCGCCCGGGAGCTGGGCCCCAGTGAGGCAGCGGACAGTCCCTGGCACCTTCCCCGGGCTTCAGTACAGCAGCATCAGTGCCACAAAATTGCCCTTCTCTGCTGGGCGTGAGAGGGATTCTGGAGGCCAGGACAGTCAGCTGCTGTTGCCATGCGTCACTACCTGCATCTGTCTCAGAAATGGGGGCTCCCAAGGGATCAGAAAAACTCACTTCAGGGGGTGCAGCGGGTGACACCAGTGCCCCTGCAAACCCCTCTCACTCCTGCTGCTTCCCTTGACAGAAAGGGTGTCCTCCCTGGAGGTGCCACCCACAGGCACAGAGCTCTCCAGGTGACGTGGAATCCTGGGGTCATGCAGCAGCAGTGTCACCTTTGGAAGCTAGGCAGAGGGACAACGTTCACTTGAACTCACAGGTAGGACTGAAGTTTAAGTGCACAAGGACGTGCAGGCACATGCTGCCCTAAGCAGAAATGTGCTTGGGATGAAATCATTTGGAAATCAAAGCAGAGACGTCCTGGGAGGTGAGAGAAGACCCATGAGCTGGTACAGCTCCCCAGGTCTGCTGGAAGCTGGCTGTGGGCACTCCAGATCTGATTTCCCCCTTCACTCTGTCCCAGCCTGTGTACACTTCAGGCACAGAGGAGCAAGGCCGGGTAGAGGGGACATGGGCTCCAGGCCCACCCTCGGAGGGACTCGGCAGCAGCAGAGGGGACAGCAAAGAGGTAGGAACTTAGCAAAGCCCGGACTCTGAATAGACACTCAAGATTGCACCCAGCACAGGACCCTGTCGGAGGGAATGGGCTTCACGTTTTTCATTTCCGATTATCACAGCAGGTGTGCTAACAGATCAGTCACCTGCCCCCACAAAGGAAAAGGTCAAGTGGCAACCACCAAATACAGGAGCTCAGGAGCAGTCATCGCGCGGCAAGGCCCGGAGTCAGGAGATCGGTGCCGTCCTCCACCCGGGACCGCCAGTCACTGACCCGGACCCCCTCGGGTCCCAGCCTCAAGCATGAAACCTTCAGAGGCGCCACCGACACGCCCAGCTGGGAAGGGTGAGGCCCGTGGATCCTGGGGAAGATTTTGCTTTTTGAAAAGTGAAAGACACAGCAAAGGTATCACAAGACCCACACAGTGCAGACGAGGCCAGGAGAGCAAGCCTCCGCAAAGTCAAGTGTCCCTAACTGGGGGCGATGAAAATGACCCCGGTATGTACCTGTGCGTTCTGAGCGTGCTTGTCCAGGACCGGGCCACTGCGTCTCCCAGGGCATGCGAGGGCGCCTGCATCTGCGGAAGGCAAGAAGAGACCGGGCTTGGCTCGCACACGTTCCATGCCCCGCAGCCCTGCATGCCTCCCCCACCACCTGAGTCTAGAGCCCACGGGGGCCCTGACCAGAGGCCTGGGTTCACCAGGTGCCACACAGGAGCCCTGAGGATGACCCCAGCAGGCGTTTGCCCAACACCTCACCCCGCTGTGCACAGGGCAGAATGCAAGGGAGCTGGAAATCAACAGGGAAACCAAGGTTTCCCTCCCCGTAGGGGAAGTCAAAATTCAAACACGGATTAAAAATGACAACAAGGCAGCCTTGGGTGCAGAGGACACCCACGAGCCCTGCCCTGAGCAGCACTGCTTGTCCTTTGCTTCTGGCCCTGGGTGGATTTTCACTCCCGCGGTCGCCATGTGCTCTGCCTTCTGTTTCTGCCTCGGCGTCGTCTACATATTAAGGGGCACAAATGGGCTGCAAGAGACTCCTATGCAGCGGTGAGACAAGCAGGCACCGTGGGGGTCAACGGGATCGTGCGACTGTGAGAATTTCACTCATGACACCAGGGACACCGACACTGGGGGACATCTACTCACTAACGGAGGTCCAGAGCACGCAGTGCAAGATGACAACGGAAAGAATCAAGGCACCTCCAGAAACACCCACTCCCTTAAAGCGAACGGTGGCAGGATATTTATCCACAAAGACAGAGCAAAGCAGCTGCTTGTCTCACAGGACCTTCTGCCCCAATCCGAGATTATTGTTGGTGTTAGTTTTCTCAAATAAAAGAACAATAAAGCTTCTGCCCCTGACTCAAGGGGGCAGGAGGAGCTGGCCCAGTTCCCCACTTTGCACAGAGCAGCTGAGAGATCAGGGGTAGTGGGGAGTCCACGGCCAGTACAGGGGCCTCGGCTCCACCCTTCATGGGGTAAGTCCCAAAGGGCCACGTGGCCAGGACACCTGAGTGTGCTGCCTGCCCAGGCGTTCCCTTTACTAAGTGTTCGGGGACAGTGTTCAGAGACCCTCATGATCGCCCCCAGAACAAGAAGCAAAGCATACAGTCTGCCACAGAAGTGCAGCTGCTGCCCCTCCCCCACTGCTCCTACCTCTCCATGCCTGGTTCTCCCAGCCGGGTCCTCCCAGGGCTGGCCCCTGCCTCTTGTACCCCTCGGCCAGCTTCATCATTTCCAATCTTGAAGACAGAGAAAAAAACTGCGCTTGAATGACAGCGAGAACATCACGGCACTCAACACAGCCTTATCTCAAAAATGCAAAGATGGGCTCGAGAGGCCAGCCTAGCCCGTACCTGTACCTCAAGTGCTCAGCCTCCCTGTCGAGGTGCACCAGCTCCTGCTCCAACGCATTGGCCCTGTGCTGTGGGAGGAACACGTGGGCTCGTCAGTCACGGAAGACAGGGCACAGAAGGAAGGAAGCTAAGAAAGGGTCTTACCCAGCTGTCCAGAGACTTTCTGTACTGTGCGGAGACCTGAGAAAGCCAACGCATCACAAGGGTCTGGTGAGGGCTTGTGGGGGGCGTCAGGGTCGGGGCGAGGGGCGCTCAGGGCTCTGCAGAACGCAGCTCACCTGGCACGCAAAGCTGCGTTCCTCCTGCTGCAGCTCCTCCTGCAGCTGGTGAATTCTGGTCCTGTGATTTAGATTCGCTTTCATGAGTGAAAGGGCACCGCTGGGTGTGGTTCTCAGTCCCCTGCCCGAGCCCCTGCTGCCCTCACACTGAGCCTCACAGTTTATCCGCACCGCTGAAACAGTCCCCTGTCTGTGACAGTGTTGCAGTAGCACCGCTGTCTCTCTCACGTCCTTGTCTATTTGGAACGCACACCTGAAGCTTCCGGGCTGGCACCGCTTCCTGGTCCGTTCTCAGTGTTTCCCTGCTCTCTCCTCCACCCCCAGCACCTGTCCCCCTGAGGCCCTACTCTCTGACTTAGGCCCTCACTGTGTTTCCCCGGGGCCGCCATGGCTGGGTTTCCAAATGGCACAGTCACTTTCAGAGATGTGACTCAGCCCACATCAAACTGCCGGCGCTGTGGTGTAGCAGGTAAAGCCGCCACCTGCAGTGCCGGCATCCCATGTGGGTGCCCGTTTGAGACCCAGCTGCTCCACTTCCAATGCAGCTCTCTGCTGTGGCCTGGGAAAGCAGTGGAAGATGGCCCAAGTCCTTGGGCCCCTGCACCCATGTGGGAGACCCGGAAGAAGCTCCTGGCTTCAGATCAGCACAGCCCCCATTGGTGTGGCCAACTGGGGAGTTAACCAGCAAATGGAAGACCTCTCTGCCTCTTCTTTTCTCTCTGTGTAACTCTTTCAAGTAAATAAATAAGTCTTAAAAAAAAAAAAAAAACCTGCTTTCCAAAGGCTTAGGACCGTTTGTCACCAATCCCAGAAACATTTGCATGAACCAAATTTCCACACGGTCTGGCCAGTGTCGGGGATCAGGAAATGTCTAGCAACTTTACATTTTTTCTAATTTGTAAAGGTTGATTATTTTTTTCTGGCTGAGTTCGCTCTACACACATCTTCTAAATATTTGCTTCTATTTCTGTGTGAATCGCGTGTAAACATCGTACAAAGGTGAAAAATTTAACAATCTGGCAGAGGCTTCGTGAGATGCTGGTGCTTAGCGTCTGAACTCACTTGCATTCCTCTATTTCTGCTGTAGTCGAATTCAGCTTTTCCTCTTTTGCAGACAGCTGCTTCTCCGTATTGGTCTGCTCCTGTCTTCCCCTAGCCATTGCCCTGAGACAGGAAGGAAAGAGACATCATCCAGTAGCTCCGGTGAAACTCTGTCTGTCTCCCCGCCAGCGGTCTGCAGGCCAGGAGTCAAAAGGCCCCCTCCCCCACAACCCGCACCAAGTTCAGTAGGAGGCCACTGGCCTGGGGCGGTCCCGTATTCTGAGTTCCTACATAAAACTGCAACCTGGCTTAGTGTGGCATCCACTAAGAACCTAACTAGGAATATAATGAACAGCTGAGTCTCAGCCAGTCACAAGCAGCCATGCTTCAGCCAATCAGAAGCAGCCAACAGATGAGCCCACAGGTGTGAGGCAACCACCTGGTTGGAACCCATGAAGCTACTTCTGCACTTGCTTACTCTGTGAATACTCACTTACTGCAGAGATGTCTCTCTTCTGGTTCTGAGTGCTGCCCCCTCATGAACAGTTTTTTGATCAGCGAGGCTTTGGTTTAAATTTACTTGTTCTACAGTTTTTCTTAACACCCATAAATGCATAGACTGAGCCCCACACTCAGGGGAAAAACCTAAGCTTCCATACAGGGACAAAGAAAAATCCATCTCTGGCTACCAGCAAGTCCCAGGCCATCCTGACTGCTAATTCCTCTCTCTCTGCTCCTACTCCTAAGTAAATAAAGTCAACGACATGAAAAGCACTTTACGATATGCACTGTGCACCCCTCTAGGAGCAGTCCCTTGTGTTTGGTTGGGGAAAGCTCATGTCAGTTCAGTGTGGAAACCAGGCCTGGCCAACTCAAAACAACTCAGCTCACTCGGATGAAGCAGGAGATCTTGACTGTCTGGTTTTTCCATGGGAGGAGTGGACTTCTCCCTGCAAGGCTGGTGCCATGGCACAGCCAGAGAGACCCTCCCCAGGCACATCATTGCCAGCATGGCATAGCAACCGCTGGACACCTGGGCAGGTCGGGGGAGGAACTCCTATTGCCTACTTCAGAAATATCGTTTCGAAGGCTATAAACTATTTTACTATGTATCATCTTTGTTAAATGCTATAGGAAAAAGTATAAACACTGAAATGTTGATTATTCTAAAAACAAAGACATTGGTTGAGGACAACGGAAACACTGTTGACTTTAAATGTTCCCAACTGCCACCTTGTCAAGGTGTTATAACTTCGAAAGTGGCTTCTGCTGGAACCCTTCACGTCCAGGCAAGTCCACTTGAACAGGACTGGCTGCAGGGATAGTGAACTCAGCAAAAGGCAATGGCCTCCCCACACTCGATTTTCTATGGGTCACGTAGAAAATTAGAGAGCTCTATGGAAAAGGGACAAACATCCTTAAAAGAGAGTTTCGTGCGTTTGTTCCTGGCCATCTAAGCAGTCCCTGAGCCATGCTTTCTGTAGTGACTCTAATGAAATGTGTACATTGTAAGGTGTGGTGGACAGAGCCGGGCACTGTCCTCCCCACCCTAAGAGACCTCATGGTTTCACAGAAGAAGCCAGTGAGGACACAGCAGCCCCCGCCTCAGATGTCAGAAGCAAGTTCCCAAAACCCGAGTCTTGAGGGAGCATAAGGAAGAGTTCTGGCTTTGAACGTGGGTGGAGGGGTCTGCAGTCCCTGATCTCACCAGAGAACAACAGGAAGCTCTGCGAGAAAGATGAGACGAGTGACTGAAGGCATCGACCAGGTGACAAGCCAGGAAGAAAACATGAGGTCACGGTGCAAAGGAAATCCAGGACTAAGGTCAGCCTGGCATTTGGGGCCACTTTCCCCTGTTTTGTCCATGCATTCCAGAAGAGACTACTGAGAAACAAGGAAGGTGAGCAGCCTTTGCACAGAGGCAGGGACTGAGAAGGAAGACAACTAAAGAAGGGACCTGGGGGGCGACCGCCTGTCTGCAGCCAGACCTCAATGTTTTTTTTTTTTTTTCCCAAGGTCTGGCATTGAGTTAAAAATGACTAAGCATACAGCAAGCCAAGACCAAGTGGTGGGACTGAAACCTAAAGGGCAGGGCACATGGACCCCGAGGGAATTCAGATAATGAGGTTGTCAGTGCTGGTGCCAGTGTCCCCTCTGACACCAAGTAAATGATAGACAGAAGTTTCTGACAACCAGCCAGATGGGAAGAAAAAACACGGATTCTAGAAATCAAGGCAGGAAGGACAACCGCAGATGTACTGACACCCTAAGAACTGGGACTTGTTTCTGTTTTGTCTACACGTGTGTTGACGCAGCAGTGCTATCGCAATGGACATCTTACTCCTCTTCAGCCTTCTCGATGCTTTTAGAGATTCCACAGAGATCATCCAGCTGCATCCTCAGAGATTCGAATTCCCAATCTTTTGCTGTTTTCACAAAGGCCAACGTGTCACAGCTGGATCGTAGGTTCTTGTCACATTCTGTAAAGGACAAAGGAGTTTGCTTTGTGTGTGTGCACGTGCACCTGAGGACATGAGGTGAGGGGGGAGATGGGGAGGGCCCCAGGACATGCTTCACCTTCCCAGGGCACGCTCCTTTCCTCCCAGCAAGCAGCATACCTTCCAGCTCATGCACGTTGGACCCCAAGGCGGTCAGCTCTGCTGCCCCAGGGTCTTCCTTCGGGTCCTGAGACAGATAAAAGACATTCAAAACAAAACTGCACAATGATTCGAATGCACTAATGCTACTGAATTGTACACTTAGCGGGGGTTGAGATGGTTAATTTCATGCTGTGTGTTTTTTACCCAAATTAACTTTTTTAAAAGAAAGTGATGATGTTCAGTTCTCCAATTCATGTCATTTATGGGAGTAAGGTTTTGCTAGCTCCTCCCCCTTGATCTTCACCTGAGAATGTTCTCCTTACCTCTTTGTCTTCAGACTTCAGTATCATTTCCCCGAGCAAGGATTCATCAATGGAAATTTTAACCTAATGCAAAACACACTGGGTAATGTCTTTTTTTTTTTTTTTTTTGACAGGCAGAGTGGACAGTGAGAGAGAGAGAGAGACAGAGAGAAAGGTCTTCCTTTGCTGTTGGTTCACCCTCCAATGGCCGCCGCAGCCAGCGCACTGCGGCCGGTGCACTGCGCTGATCCGATGGCAGGAGCCAGGTGCTTTTCCTGGTCTCCATGGGGTGCAGGGTCCAAGCACTTGGGCCATCCTCCACTGCACTCCCTGGCCACAGCAGAGAGCTGGCCTGGAAGAGGGGCAACCGGGACAGAATCCGGCGCCCCGACCGGGACTAGAACCCGGTGTGCTGGCGCTGCAAGGTGGAGGATTAGCCTAGTGAGCTGCGGCGCCAGCCACACTGGGTAATGTCTTAATTCTCAAAAACAAACTTCTTCATCACAATCGTACAAGTCTGACCTCCTACGACATGAAATATTCGACCTTCGTGGAAGGCAAGATGTGAAATGGAAATCCTGTATTGGATGTAGGGGACTTACCTCTGACAATCCTGAGGTGTTTGTGGACATAACACTATTCATGTTCTCTGAAGGTTTTTCCTTTCCCGGTATCTGCACGAGGGAGAGGAACAAACCATGTAGCGGGATTCCCACAGAAGCATGGGTGACAAGCTGAAAACATGAAAGGTCAACTAGACCTGGGCCACAGCTGCCCCTGTGTTCGAAGGGAGAGTGGCTGGGCCAGTCTAGGGCCAGGGGCTAGGTCAAGCCTATAGAGAAATGAGGAACAAAGCATCCCTGGAGGCATGAATGCCTCGTGGCACCCATACCGGTTCTGCTTAGGAGATAATGGGGCAGAAGAGTGAATGAAGAGGGCAAAGCAAAGGAGGGGAAAACTGTTCAAGTCAAATGGCTCAAATGCTTTTCTTCAGTCTATAAATAAAAGAAATCCAAACCAAATGTGTCCCAGTTCATACAGTGAGACGGGCATGGACTGCTCTCCACCTGGCCTGAAAGCTTCCTTCACCTCCCACCATTTTCTCTGGTTTTCTGTGCGTCGTGCAGGGCAGTGCTGAATTTTGGAATAAATGTGCAGGTTTGAAAAAATAAAACACTTCCTTCCAGATGGTGAACGAAACAGAGATGGTAATGCAGGTTATGCTGAGTCAGGAGTGGAAGAAAATTAATTCCTGATTCGTGGGACATATGAGTGATTTTAGACACATGGTGCGTGCACACTAAGGCAGACAAAAGAGTGAGTTTAACATGCATGCATCTGTTGAAATCGTTACTTAATATATACTAAATTGATCTGTATATAAAGATAATTGAAAATGAATCTTGATGTGAACAGAATGGGAGAGGGAGCGGGAGATGGGAGGGGTACGAGTGGGAGGGAAATTATGGGGGGGAGCCATTCTAATCCACAAACTGTACTTTGGAAATTTATATTTACTAAATAAAAAATGCTAATTAACATGTTAAGAAAAAAAAGAAAATTCTAGACCGAGACAAATTAATTAGAGGGCAAGGACTGATTGGGAAAAACTGGGGGTATTTACATGACAGTCATGTTGTAGATCTTGAGAGGAGTTGGGCTATGTATGTGTAGTTTTAAGAGTTAGTGAATGTACATTTAATATTTGTATGTTTTCCTCTGTGTAACTTTTTTGGAAAAGAAAAATCTGTTAAGAAATGTTGAATTCCACTTTCAGACAGTCCTGCTGAACTACTCTACTGAGGAAGTAGAGTGATGCTTGCAATTCAATATTAAAGGTACTGAAGACAGACTGACAGAGGGATGGATGGATGGTGGATGGATGTGTGAAAAACATGTGATAAAATATTCATCCAGCAATGCTACATGTTTGCACATTTTCATAAGAAAATGGTGGTGGTAATTAGCAAAACCGAAATGTCTCATGTCAGTGAGATTTTGAATATAAGTTCAAAAAGTGACTGAAATTGTATGTACTGGAAGAGTAACAGGTACAATCCCAATCGGATTTTTCTTCAGTCAATCCCTTGTGGAACTGCAAAATGCAAAGATATACTGGGAAACCTCACAGAAGTGATAGTCCCTGGGTTTTTGTTTTAAGGGTAAGGATCAATGGGAAAAACAATTCCCACATTGCTTTCCAAGGTATTGGATAAGCCAATTGTGATATAGCCAATAAAAAGGAATTCTACTCACCCATGCAGAGGATCAAACCACTGATATAGAAAACAACATGGATCAGTATCTGGTTGTACAGACCCAATTAACCCAGGAAAACTGCAATAAGCCCATAACATCTGATTCCCATGGATAAAATGTAATTGGCTGGAGTCCAGTGTTTCAGGGGAAGGTGGTAGGACAGAGGGAGAAGGTCAGGTGGGTTGAACAGGAAGTTACTGAAGTCAGCATGGCCAGGGGATGAAGCTCCGGGGACAGAACGTAAAGAGGTACCACTAACTAAAGACACAATAAGCATGGGTCCAGGCTGGGTGGGCTTCATCCTGATTACTGAAGCTCTGGAATCTCTTAACAAAATAATTCGCCTCTTTCAGATCTCAGCCAAATAACATTTTGTTGCTGCCTAGTTGTGCAGAACATCCTAACCCTGACCCTCCCAAGGACTCTCCAGGAACTGCACTGGCATCTGAGACACCCTGGGATCAGACCCACAATGGCTTCAGCCCCGGGCTGTCTACTCCTGACTTGCCACTGGGCACGTCCTCAGCAGCCTGACCTCCCTTTGCTCTCCTGAAAAGCTCTAAACTGCCCTCACCAAGTAGGACAGCAGTTCTTGAGACTCCCAGCCTGCCGCCATCCTCATCTACCAGTAGATTAGATCTCCTGTTTTCTTTATCCCCAAACCTTGTCCTCGTTATTCTCACCAGCACCTTTTACAAGGAACAGATTTTGGCAACAATAGGTCAGCGGTGACAGGTCTGTAGGACAGGCACACACAGCATGTGTGGGATGCTCAGGAGGAGGCAGAGGGGCTTGGACCAGGGATCCGTTTGCCTCCAAGTCTTCTCCTGTTTGGTGATCACCTTACCAACCCGGACCCTTTATACTCCCTCCCAACCAATCCGCTGCCATCCCCCCTGGTGTGTCACAGTGGAAGCCCCACCTGTGTGCAACCCCGCCCTGTTCTTAGAATGTCCCTCCCCTACTGAGCATGTGCCTGGAGCTGAGCCCAGGAGAGGGCGTCTCTGCAAACCTCTCAGCTTTTAATTCTGGTCCCGCCCAACCCAGCTCCTCCGCACCCCCTTCTGGGAAGATACTTCCTCCTTAACTCTCAGGGCCTGCCATGGTCGGTCTGGACTACAAAACATGCTAAGTAACTGAAGACAGACTCCGGAAGCATACAATACACAGAGAGAGCGGTTCAATCCCTCTCTCGGGAATGGATACAAGAGTAGACAGAACACCAATACGCTGTAGAAAGTTTTCATGGGAAAAAAAGATTTATTTACTTATTCGAACGGCAGAGTCACACAGAGAGAAGAGGAGACAGAGACAGAGGGAAGCTCTGTTGGTTCACTCCCCAAATGGCCATAATGACTGTGCTATGCCAGGCTGAAGCCAGGAGCCAGAAGCTTCTTCTGTGTCTCCCACACGGGTGTCAGTGGCCCTGGGGCTTGGTCTAGTTTCTGCTGCTTCCCCAGGCATATTAGCAGGGAGCTAGATGGGAAGTAGAGCAGCTGGGACTTCAACTGGTGCCCACAGGGGATGTCAGCTTAATCCACCGCACCAAAGCACTGGCCCCAAATCATCTTAACTCAGTCATGTTTCTATACCAATACAGACCACACAGTGACTTTAACCACATATTGTACATTTATAAAACCTAGCCCTCTGCATGGGAAACCCAGATGGAGTTCCAGGCTCCTGGCTTCAGCCTGGCCCAGCCCCTGCTCTTGTGGCCATTTGGGGAGTGAATCAATGGATGGAAGACCTCTCTGTCTCTTCTTCTTTGTAACTCTACCTTTCAAATAAATAAATAAATAAAAACTTTAAAAAATTTATGTACAAAAGAAGATGGGATTAAAAGATAATGTTATTCTGGTGCATCTGGGGGATTCCTGAGCTCTGGAGAGTGAATGGGAAGGAACGGGTGTATGGGTGCTTATGGGAGTGACACGAGGGTAGGGCTCCCGGGGCCCTGAGCAGGGCTAGAGGAGTCTGTGGGACCCCGAAGTCTCCAGAGGAGGCTCCCTGAGTCACCCACACCAGGTCTGGGCCGGCACAGGTGCAGCAGCAGTGTCACTGGAGGATGCAGAGGCAGAGGATGGTGGCAGGGAGGCGACAGCTGGCAGGTGAGCATGGCCAGGGCTCACTGCTCCAGGTATTCCTGCCTCAGCCTCTCGGGGTCTCACCCTTCTGCAGGGTCTGGGCCAAGCCTTGCAGCACCAGGTGCTTGAAGCCACTTGGAGGGTCCCTCCTGGGCCTCTGTATTTTGGATCCTGAATGGGTGCCCCAGGGTAGCCCAGGGCTCTGGAACCACCAGGTAGACTCTGCGACAGGACTGTTTTGGACTGGGGATTATGGAAAATTTGGCACAGATCCATTCATGGAACAAAGGTGCCACACAGGTGCTGTTGATGTCGATGACTGCATTTTATTATCTGCAACCCCAGCTCGTGCACCTACATGGGCAATCCAGACCAAGGGGGGACTTGGAGGCAGCGGAGTCATGGAATCTACCATAAAACAACAAAACTTCTTGGCACCCCTGACACCCTTCCAAATCAGCTCTCTCAACTCCTCATCTGCATCCCAATCACATGGGGGAAACTGAGGCAGCCAGGGATTGGCCCAAGGTCACACGGTGGGTTCCGGCTGTGCTGTCAATCACATCTGGCCAAACTCCTTTTTCCGAAGTTCATTCCGCTTAATCTTGCCGGTGATGGTTTTGGGCAGCTCTGGGATGAACTCCACCTGGTTGAGATAAAGGAAATCCCACTTGACTTAGTCCTGCTCTCACCTCCCCACTCCTCCTTCCTGGACATTGCCCTCTGTGTGCTGGCCCCAGGTCAGATGGCCGTCACGTGATGTGTTTTGAGCAAGGAAGTGCGAGTGGAGGTAAACCGGGTCACCTCCAGGCAGAAGAGCTTGGGGCCACTGGAGTGGCCACTCCCCTCCATCTCTTAGCGCACCTGGCAGGTTTCTATTTGGTGGCTGCCCCTTTATCCCGTCCCAGGATGAGCAAAAGTGATGAGTGGGCCCCCAGAGAGCCATAGTGGACGCGTAGCATGAGCAAGAAAGAGATCCTCAGAGTCGGATGCAGTGTGTCACCCACCATAATCCACAGCCCCTCCTAACTGGGAGATGTCACCCATTCGAGGCAGCCTCACCTAATGGCAGAAGCACAAACTCTGCAGTCAGACACATGTGGGTTGGAGTTCCAGCTCTGCCTTTATTAACTGTGACTGCAGGCAATTTACTCTGTGCCTCTGAGGCTCAGTGAAATGGGTTGGTGTTGTGCTATCTCAGATTGTAGAGAGATTTAAACAAAATACTAATACATGAAGAACATAGTAAGGTGGTCTCATAATGTGCCAATCGTAAATGTCCCAACAGCACCGTATGGTAGGACACATGGAGGAAACATTAGCTCTTGATGTATTTCATGTGTCATTCGAAACCAATGAGATAATACCATGTATATTCCTCCATAGCCTGCTTTTCTCTTTTCATCCTATATCATTGAGGTGTTTGTATGTCACAAATAAATAATTGGCACCATGATTTTAAATCACAGGATAATATTTAAGTCCATGAATAATTTAAACATTTCTCTAAAGGTTTTTGTAGGTTGCTCTTAGCATTTAAAACCCATGTAGCCAAATCAACCTACCTGAAGTCTTGCGTGTTGAAGGGTCAGAATCACTCTGCTAATGTCTGTTTGCTACACACACGTGTAAATGTTGGTGTTGGGCTATAACATAGAACATGCCTCTGGCCAGGAATCATGTTTGTAAAAGCTTTGAAGCTGCTGAATGTATTTCTTTTTCAAACTTCACAGGATTGTACATTATCTGTTTGAATATCTTGGGGTGCTTGTCTGGTTTCTCCCCCTACAGGTTGATCTGCTAGCTCTGGGTTGCTCCTGGGCTATCCGGCAGAAGACAGATTTCCATCTGGTTAGGTGGTTTCACCCCATGCCCCTACCAGACTTCTGCAGTGTTGAAAACGTCTGTGCTTAGGGGCCAGCACTGTGGTGCAGTGGGTGAAGTGCCACCAGTGCCCCTGGCATCCTATATCAGAGTATCTGTTTGAGTCCCTGCTGCCCCACTTTTGATCCACCTCCCTGCTAATGCATCTGGGAAAGCAGCAGAGGATGGCCCTGGTGCTTGGGCTCCTGTACCCACATGGGAGACCTGGAAGAAGCTCCTGGCTTTGGCCTGGCCCAGCCCTAGCCATTGGGGCTATTTGGGGAGTGAACCAACAGATCTCTCTCTCTCTGTCACCCTGCCTTTCAAATAAATAAAGTAAATCTTTTTTTTTTTTACAAAAAACACCGTGTGCTTTTCCCTTCTTCTCCACAACATGAGAAGTGGAGTGGAGGACTTGGAAACCATCCTGGGGGGCTGGAGCCCCCGCGGCCACCCCCGCTCACCTTCCGTGGGTACTTGTACGGGGCCGTCATGGCCTTCACGTGCTCCTGCAGCTCCTTGGTGAGCTGCTGCTGGTTGTGGGCCAGGAACTGCGGGTTGAGGACGATGAACGCCTTCACCACCTGCAGGAGCGGAGCAGAGCCCACGGTGAGTGCCATGGTGAGTGCCTCGGTGAGTGCCATGGTGAGTGCCTCAGTGAGTGCCACGGTGAGTGCCATGCTGAGTGCCACGGTGAGTGCTGCCCGCTACACAGAGGCAGTTGCTTGCTGGAGGCTGCATGGGAGGCTTTGGGAAAGACTGGGCTGGGGTGCCAATCCCAGGGCTGCCGATTTCCACGGCACACCTCGGAAAACTACCGGACTGCTCCTCATCGATTTCTTTTCCTGGTAAATGGGGACAAAAAAGCTTCATTCCTCATAGGGGCTTCTGTACAGAGTCCCTGAGATGAGCCATAAACTCCTGGGTGATTCTATTTAATATTTCCCCTATCATCATCATGTTTCTCACCAGTATGCCTGCAGCTCTGGCTGGCACTCAGTAGGCCTTCAACACTTGTCAGTAACTTACTATGTTTACCTTGGTATCCATACCCCCCATGTGACTGCTCAGGGCCCAGCGCAGGGAAGCTGCTCCACCACCACCTGTTGAATCTTGGGAGCCAGGCTGCACAGGGTACAGTCATGGTTTATAATGGTTTATAATAGCTGTGTGATGTGGGCAAGTTAACTAACTCCTTTATGTCTCTGTGTCCTTACCTACAAAGATATGACCACGGTCCTGGACCCCTAGGGCCGTTGGGAGGGCTGAATGGGCTGGCACACAGCTAGGGATCCAGCAGACACGGTGGGTGTCCTTTTCAGAGTGGGGCCACAGCGCCCCCTGGTGACCACATCGTGCAAATGCGAGGTTTTCGCTTCCACCAAAGCGCAGGAGAGAACAGCTCAGGCTTCCCCTGGGCCTACCTTCCCCTGTGGCCCCACGCACGCCCGACACCTTCCTTGTGCTCCTTACCTCCCCTCGAGATGTGTCCGGGCTGCTCACTACGGCTGACTCCTTCACGGCTGGGTGCTCCGCCAGGGCATTCTCCACCTCTGTCGGCCCAATGCGGTACCTGCAGGACCCATTATTGTTCTTGGGGGCAGATGCCAGGGCAAGTCTCTGACCGGGGAGACTCCCGTCTCCCGTGGGGCATAGAGCACACAGGTCATAGGGAGCCCGTGTCACAGGCCCATGTGGAACACCTGGCTACCTGGGGCTGGCAGCTGCAGTGCTTGGGAGTCTCCCCAGGGCTTCTGCATTCACTGCCCTGGGGAGGGGGAGAGGAACGCTTGGTCTCCAGGGGCTCTGTGTCCTCGGCCCAAGCAGCTCCCCACACCCTGGCGTGTGATTCCTTGAAGGCATCAAGCTCCGTCTGAAATTCTGCATCCTAGTCCCCATTCCATGCTTAATTTTACATC